CGCGGGCGTCTGGCCTGCGCCGCGGTGTCATGCCGTCGCCGGCAGGGGGCGCGGCGGCGCCGCCGGGCATCCAGGCGCGCGCGCGGGGGGCTCGGACGGGCGCGTCGCTGCGCTCGCGTGGGGCCGCTGGGCTGGGCTGGGGGCCCCTCCGGCCCCGGTCCTTCGTCGGAGGCGCTCCGGGATCAGCGCTGGGATACCGCCGGGGACTCTGCCGGCTTCGCTGGCGCCCCCAGATCGCCGCGAGAGCGAGGCACTGCCGGAGCTGCTGTTCTCTGACAGTGGGGAACGGCTCCGAGCGCTCTTATAACGGGACGGGCGGAGAGAGGAGGCGGGCTGGCAGGAGGGAGCGGAGAGATGCTGCCCGGAGCCAGTCACAGGAGCTGCGAGAGCATCACTCACGCAGCTAATCCCCGCCCGGTACCCACCCAGCTCCATCGGATGCTCATCGCCTCCTCCAACCCACCCTTCTCCTGGCCGCGGTCCTTCCTCTTGTCCAGCCACTGCACCACCTTTGCGCGCGTCCGCCTCCGGGGAGAGGAACGGGCAGGCGGGCTGGACTCCCGTAGCCCTTAGCCCCGCGGGCCACCCCTTTTCTCTTTCGAGCAACCTCACCCAACAACTTGGCTGCCTTAAGCGATTCTGGCCACGCGCGCGGCCGCTCTGCTCTTTGGATGCCTTTCCGCAAACTCACACAAAGCTGCTGGAGCGTTACTCGCGGGTGGGTGCTAATCTCGCACTTTGCCCAAGGAGGTGCTAGCCGGTGAGCACACCTTGAGACTCAAGAGGGAGCGATTCAGGAGAGAGCAGGGCTGGCAGAGTTGCAGACAGGTGACGTTACTGAGATGGACTGAGCTTATGCACAGGTTTGGGGTTTTCAACAGTACGCCCTTCTCCCCAGATGTACATCTTGTCTTTCACAGCCAGGCACACTGATTTATAGATTCTAGTCAAGGCAAATAGCCCAGGTTTCCATACTGCTAGCCCCAGGACTGCTGAAAGAAAATTTTAGAAGGCAAGCCTAAATACAGTTTCCAGAAGTAATTGCCGCCGGACACAGCGGCACCAACTTCTGAGTAATCACCAGATTGCAGTTCCCATTGAACATATAAACAGTCCTGGATTAAACAGTTAAGACTGCAATCCCATATCCACTTACCTCGGAATAAATCTGGGTGGGATTGCACTCTAAATGCACATACATTTCCATCTAGTACAGCAGCATTTCAGAAGAATTATTACTGGCAATGAAAGATGGCAGCAATTTATTATGTATTTCAAGTGTCGCTCGGTGCAACACCCCCTGAAAAAGACGGTGATTGCAGGCTTGAGTCAGCTTCATCAGAGGACTGGAGCTCCATCTGTCTCTGCCACAGCATCTGTGAGAGGTGGCGGCAGAGGAGAGGATGGAACCTTGGCAACTTCATAGAGAAGAGGCTTCTATAGCGATTGGTGGAGCAGGGGATACCAGCCCTGGGGAAGGGGCCAGGTGAGAAAGGCATCAGGGGGATCAGTGGTTACCCGAAAGAGAAAGGCATTTCTTTGCATGGTTGCCTATCCAGGTGAAGAGCAGCCATTCACCTGCGTCTGTCAGGGTGAGCAGTGAGGCTAAGAATCCTGCCCTGCAATCCCCTACATAACCCCAAAGTCCCCAAACAGTAGTGTGAACCAAGCATCATTCAGCACAAGGTGGCAACTTCCTTTAGTTTGTTGCATTTATGCTCTTACAAGACATGTTGGTTTGAGTTATTTTTACAAGCACTAGGAAAGGCTGTAATGTTTGGAATGGACTGAGTTTGTGATGGGAACAGAAGCGGTTGGATGCTTGCACACTACTGGGATGGTGGTGGGTACGGAAAGGACAAGGATATCAATAGCTACTAGTTCAGATGGCAGTGTTACCTCTGTGTGTACCACTTGCTGGGGAACATGGCTGGAGCGATGCTTTTGCATTCATGTGCTACTTGGGGAGGGCCCCAAGCCTTGTGAACAGGCTGGGCTAGATGGCTTTAATGGGGGGTTGCTTTAGGGGTCCTTTCCTACTGCAGGAAAGCCAAATCCAGTCTCGCTTAGTCAGTTGGTTTCATCCTTAGCAGCAATTACATGCTCTGGTTTCTTGTGTTTTTCTTGTTTGTTGCTGGTGATTCTGTTCTTCACGTTATCTAATCACGTTGCTTTGCTGCAGGAAGAGAAACGAGACTGTAAGTCCCCAGTGCATTCTTTGACATACAGCATCCTTCCACTAGATGCTCCACCTGATACTGCAATGTGTCTGCCAATAGCATTATTACATAAGGCTTTATTAATAAGGCTTACAGTGGGACGGGTTGGCAGGAAATCACAGACCCCTCAGAGCAAGACCGAGTGTTATGTGGCAGCCAAATGTCATTCCTGCAGCTCACTGTACCCAGCTTAGCAGCAGCCAACCCGTTGGGGGCGCATTTTGCTTTTTCCCTTTCTTTCTTACATAAAATATCATGTTCTTTGCTGCTGCCAGTTCAGAGTGGAACAAACTGAATGCCATGGACTGCAGGCTGGATTTGGGAGTGGTGAGGCATCACTGAACTTGCGAGCGGGCTTCTTTTCCATTTACAACTTGTCTCCTTCTGAAGCTTCACGGTAGCAGGTACCACAGATTGAAAGGATGAGAAGAGTTCCCTGCAGGCTGCAATATGCAAAAAAAGAGAAAATGAAGAGGCAGGGCTATGCAGCATGTCCTTTCTCAGAAACATTGCCTTCCCGTTGTTTTTAAACATCTGGCCAGACAAAGAGTTCTGTGTGAATGTAAAGCTCAAAAACTATTTTGCAAAGCTTAGTAACATAAACATTTTTAAGTCTAGAGAATCAAGATGCACTCCCTCCTTCTTCCACATGGGAGAACATGCCTTTAAAACAAACACTGCTGAGACATAAACTTACATGTTTTTTTGTAAAAAAACAAATTCCTTTTTTCATTCCTATGTAAATACATGCAGATTTACTTTGCATGCCAAGATACATTTACTTTAGGTTAGGGCTTACTTCTGAGTGAGTATGAATAAGATTGCACTGTTGGTTAGAATTCAGCATGCATTTCCAACTGTGGATTTTGGATTCTGTCCGCCTGCCCCTGGACCAGTATGGCCATCTTGTTTTTCTATGGATTGTTGGTTAGTTAATGAAAGCTACTAAATTCATAGGCTTGATCAACTGGGACTTACATCCCTTGTGATGGTTGTTTTAATAGATGCGCATGGCTCCCTTGGGAAGAAAACGCATCACATATTGCTGTGCCTTTTATAAGTATAGCTCAGCTAAGGTTGGTGATGCTGCAGTGTTTTCACTGCACATCAAACTGCACATTAAGCCAACAAATCTCCATGTTCAAAAGGAGAGGAACACACACACACATAATTCTAGCAATGCAAAAAACAAAGCAAAACAAAACAAAAGCCTCTCAATTACTGTTGATGATGTATATGGTATCCCACCCGCCCGCCCCTCCAACAGAAAAATTCCGCTCCGTGCATTTGCATTTCTGGATTTTGGCTTGGCCTTGCCACTAAATTATTTAAGTGTTGTCAGCCTTAGCCAATACCCTGAAACCTTGCAAAGGGAGAACAGTGCTCAGGAAAGGTAGCAGAAGCTGGGTCGACACGGAAGAGATTTACAACTGTGATTCGTGCAATTGTAAGCCTTGCAGAAAGAATGACAGAGCCCTCGATGTTTGAAAGCAGAAGTCAGTCATATTACATGCACACAAAAAGATACTGCAAAACAGACACGGGAAAGTATGCACTGTGCAGCAATTATTTGCTGGCTTGAAAGGCAGGTTCTCACTATTCTTGTGTCTCCTAATCAAGGACTGTAGCTTGCGGAAATTGGAGAGGGTCTGTAGCACACATTTGATCCTTGCAACACCCCTGCAGGGTAGGCTGGCCCAGAGTCGCTCAGTCCTTGTCAGGGATGAAAGGGGACTTGTGCTCAGGTCTCCTCTGCGTGCTGAGGGTGTTGGGGGTTCTCTGTTCTACTGGCTGCCATGTCCCACTGCGCTGAAGTGCATTGTGGGAATTTCCTTGGAAAGAATCACAAAGGCACCGGGAAGGCCATCTCTGTAGGCCTGGGAGCTTTAAAAGGACAATATCTCCAGTTAGCTCGAGATGATGGTATTGAGAGAACAAAACATGTGCCCGCACGCCATGGCCTTGAGGACCCTGGTCGCAGTCTCTTGTGCAATACGGTGTTTGCATAACGAGCCACGGTGGAATCAGTTTTACCAACACAGATGTCCCGAGTGGGAAGCAGCAGCGATCAAAGGAGGCTCCTAGGCAATGGTTTCTCACTGCGATGTGATCACAACACTAATGAGAGGCATTGCTTTGAGGATCCATGTAGCCTCAGGAGAATGAGATGTTTTAAAGTGCAGCCACTAACGAAAATGGCATACGCTGCATAAAGAGACACCTCTCAAAGAAGAAACCTCATCAAACCTCATTTTTAAAATTCAGCCATTAACACAAATGGCATACGCTGCATAAAGAAGCCAAAAGGGAACATCATTTATACTGGGTTATTTTGCAAAGAGGGGGTACAATGCCAGAAGACAAACAGGCCTGTGCAACAGCTGTAACCTGGTTCTTTATTTTGAGAGGTGCCACCCGAGAAGAGTTGCTTCAACTTACTCTCAAAAGAATGTCTATTTTCAGCACCCTCAGAAACCCGTCTGCCTTGCTCGTTCACACCTGCAGGGATCTGAAGTAAGAACAGGTAGGAAAACCTGGAGCAAGATGCCCTCACACGTGATCTGTGCCCAGGTGTGGCTACCTCCTTGGCACGGTCATAAGCTCTGCTGAATCGGTGCAAAGGCCTGTTCAGGCTAGCATATGCCCAGGGGAAGCCCATAAGCAGGGCCTGTGCGCAGCAAAGCCCTCCTGCTTCTGTTCCCAGCTACTGATGCGCAGAGGCATAGCACCACTATACACGGCAGGAGGGAATGGGGAGGCATCTTCAGGCAGGCAGCCAACTGGGTTGGGCTGGCCTCACAACAGTCTGTGCCATCCCTGATTAAAATAATTGCATTCTATTGAAAAGTAACTAGAAATGCTCACGCTAGTGGGGTGTGTGAGCATGAACAACCGGTGGCCGAGAGGCAGGAAGAAGTTTTCAGAAAATCCAAAGAACACTTGTTTCAGGGCTGTGCATCATTGACAGATGGTGTTCCTCCAGTTTTCCATTAGTAACTTGGCTGCCAGTATATGTCTATTTTTTTTCAATAGGTTGACAAAAATAAAACTTTGTCCACCTGGTGCCTTTTAATGCAAAGCTTCAACTCAGGGGACTTAGATGGGTGGATCTGATGTTTTATTGCAAACTGAATTCCTGTTTCCCATGGTGATACTGGCCAATTACCTCTGAGGATTAGAGGGGAAGAGAGAGAGAGAATTTCCATTAGCTACAGCAGCCACCGCAACCTGGTGCCCTGCAGATGTCCATACAGGGTATCCTAGGCAGCCATGCCTCCTTCCCTAGCCAGAATCCCTTTCCCCTAGACCACTGATCCTCTGGTGGTTTCCTAAGTTTGCAGGTGTTTTCCTCCATTGTAAAAGGTTGAAATGGCCTCGTACGTAGGAAAAGCTGTCTGCTAAAACGTGCTTCCACTTTTGGTCCCAACCCTTTTGCCTTCAGCCCCACCCACCCTTGGGATGAGGCCCCCGGACCCATTCTCTGAAATAGGATTTGGCCCACGGGCTGAAAGAGGTTCTCTCTCCCTGCCTGCTGCAGAGGGCGGCCCATTGCATTCTCTCGAGGCATTCTGTGGAAATGCTAAATAATTGTATGTGTCAGCTGGCTGCGTGTGATTCCCCACATCATGGATGAGCATTTTGTGTGAGGGAAAAGCAAGTCCCACTGAGCTTGTTTATTTATTATTTGTTAATTACCCTTATATGCTGCACCCTTAGCCAAATGGCTCTCTAGGCAGTTCGCAAGGGGCCTTCAAGGTCAGCAGACAGGTGTGGCCTCTGGGGCACAAGCCACGGAGATGTTCTCTTGCGCCAGTGGATTCTGTCGCACATTAATGGGAAGGAGACACAAGGCCATCCACGAACACCAAGACCTCCGGCTATCTTCCTGCAAGGCCATTTCAAAAAATTAAATCAAGAATGTATCAGAGCAGGCTAGGACTGTGCTCCCATCAGGCACAGTGAGCAGAATGGATGCCTGAATGAGCAGCCCGATCGCTCCGTGCCAAAGATGCTCGCAGGCCTCTTGCAAGAACGTCATCCCTCTGGGCTCTCAGCCCCCGATAAGCATCCTTGACGTCAGCAACTGCTGCCTTAATGCACTCTTGGCTGCACGGCTCTGGCTGCTGACTAATGGCACATCCTCTGCCTTCTCTCCCCCCCACCCTCCCTCTCTCACGCACAGATGCAGAGCATCACTCTGGCAGCAAATGCCGGCACAGCTGCCTCTTGTCAGAGCGTACGGCCTGGAACCAGCAACTGCAGGGTGTTATTCTGGAAGAGGAGAAGCCCTCCAGAGTCAAGGATTCTGAGAGTATATGCCTATTCGTTCATATACCTACCCCAACAAATGGGAGAGAACGATAAATAGAATCTTTTTCCCTTTTAAGTTGTCACAAAACATTATGTTTCAAGTGGATTGAACATCACAACTTTGCAAGAATAGTTTAATGAATCGGCTAAGTGTCGGAGGTGCAATGCAGCTAATGCTTCTTTTATGCCTGTGTTTTGGCAGCGTCCAATGACGGCTTCTTTTTTGGGAGGAGGTGATAATGCCGAGCCATTTTGTGATGGAAAGTTCTTCCATGTTTATGGATACCTGTGTTCTTCATAACAATATGCCCACCTCTTGGTCCAAGTAAACAAATGCTCCATTGCCCTTTCTTTCTTAAACTTGTATTCCGCTCTAATTGCCCCATAGGGCAGCTTTTGACAGCTAAAAGACAAGGGCGACAACATTGGAAGAATAAATGACTGTCTGCCATAACACAATCAGTTGCAGACTTGCTTTTGATTTTTGAATGGGTGGTCTTAAGGCATAATTACTGAATGGATATTTGGGCTGCCTTTGTCAAAATCTATGCCATTACAAAATTAGGCATGGTGGGAAAGGAGTGGATCAGGATAGATGTTTCTTCTCTCTGTCTTCCTAGAACTCCAGTTCATCTGGTGAAAATGATTCTGGACTGTTCCAAGGAAGCACTTCTTCAGACAACCAGTTTGGTGCAGTGGTTAAGAGCGTGGATCTGGGATGCAAGCGATCCAAATTCCAGTCCTCACTCAGCCATGCAGCCCCTTGGGTGACTTTGGGCAGGTCACTGCCTCTCAGCCCAACCTACCTCACAGGGTTGTTGTTGTGGGGACCAGAATGAGAGCAGGAGGAGGAGAGCAATGTAAGCCACATTTCGTTCTTTCGAAAAAGAAAAGGGCAGGATATAAATCTAAAGAATCAATCATTCATTTATAGAACTCTCAGCCACAAGAAATGGTGGTGGCCACCGACTCGGATGGCTTTCGGAGCGGACTGGATGCCTTCATCAAGGATAGGAGATCTGCTCATGGTGGCCAGTCAGAATCATGAGTATAAGGGTTAGGGTTAGGGTCATTTAGGGTGAGGGTGAGGATCATTTTCAGCTCAGGACTCGTACTCGTCTGGGGGGAACATCCCCCCAAAGTGGGTGAGGCCACTCTAGAACGTGCCCCTTCCTACACACACTCTCACAGTCATGCATTCACACACCACGGTCACACACAACCCCTCACACCTTTTCCAGTCGGTGCATTATCCTGCTGTGACAGGCATAGATGCTCGGGGGAATGCAGAGTGGAAAAAGAGCAACGACTGTGTTAATTATGTTAAAACGTATATGTATGTAAATAATGCTATAACAATTTAGAAGGCGGTGTTGATAACAGCACAAACATTCTAGCACTGATAAACCAATTAACACCCGTATTAATTGAAGTGCACACCCAGTTCCAGTCTGCCATCTAGTGGAGTCAGACCTCCAACTACATTTCTTCTACCTTGAAGAGAAGGTGAAATAGAAGTCGAGAAACAGAATGGGAGAGTTGGAAGGGGCCAGCAAGCCCCTTCTCAGCGCAGGACCTCTCAGATGGCTGTCCAGTTACATCCTGAATTCCTCTAGTGTGGGAGAACCCGCATCCTCGCTCGCTCACTGGTTCCACTATCATACAGCGATCAGGACATATCTAGCCAGAACCTGGCTTTCTGAGACCTGAGTCCATTATTCACCATCCTAATTTCGTCTGATCTGTCCAATTCTGCAAGGAAGGAGGGCTCATAACCCGCGCGAAGCCAACTTCTCCGACAGAGCGGGGCGTTGCCGCAGCCTCCCGAGGGAGTGCTTTTGCCTTCCGGAGAAGCGTGTCCTGTCAGGCAGCCCGTAGCGTCACGTGTTTTCACCTGGGCTCAGGTGAGGGAGGGGCCTCGGACGCCGTTTACCTGGCTGGGCAGGTAACGCCAAAGCGGGCCTAGGGGGAAATACCCGCGGACGGGAAGAAGGGATCCCCGCGGGGCTGCAGGAGGGCGAGTGCTCGGGGCACTGGGCTTCCCCGACCTCCTTCTGGAAGGACGAAGCCCTGCCCAGGTACTGAGGGTGGCACCACCCCCTCGATGCCTCCTCGCCCCTTTACTTCCGCCCGTGCTGCTCCCCCTCCTGGGCCTTTGGGTGGATCCCGTGGCCGCCGCCGCCGCTTTTCCTGCCACCCCCAGCCCACCTGGGAAGCGTCCTCGTCCGTGGCAGGAGCGTGTAAAAGCAAAAAGCTGAAGCCGCTCCGATTTGGGGGCGCTTGGCTGGTGAAGGTGTGCTGCTTGCCTGCGGGTCCCCCAAACTGAGTTACAGGTAATCGGGGGCGGGGGGGTGTGTGGAATCTGTTTCGTGTTTTCTCTTATTCAAATAGGAAGTGCCTTTTTCGCCTCCCCTGGTAAGCAGAGGCCCTGCTGAATTCGTGGCAGGCTTTCTCTCCCGTAAACACATTCAGGATTGTGCGTTGCAATGTAGAGCGGCTTTCCCCAACCTTGTGCCTTCCAGACACGTTTGGACTGCAAACCCAGAATTCCCAGGCAATGGCCCTGCTGGATGGGAATTCTGGGAGTTGTGGTCCAAATGCCTCGCGAGGCTGCTGTAGAGGATTCTCTGTGGCCTTTTATTATGAAAGCCGATGCCCTCTGCAGTCCCCTTCTCAGTGTCAGTATTTACCTGCCTATTACTCTACCTCCTCTATATACTGGGAAGATCGTTGATTTCACTGACTTACTCCTGACCAAGAATGTCCAAGATTGCATCTTCGCTATAGAGCTTAATTGGCATCTTCAGTTTAGAAGTTCAGGTAGCCTGATGCAGGACCATCTAAACTGCAGTTCCTGGTACATCTACAACCTGTCCCGGAATAGCACCATAACCTATTACTCAATCTACCCAATCCAGATTAACAGCTCCCCTTAATTTATTTGCATTCTCTCACTCTGTTGGAGCAAGCATACCACTTTCCTTGAATTGCAAGTGTACCCCCCGCCCCACAAAAATAAGTTTATTCCAGTTCTCTGAAGTTTTCCTGAGATGCAGATAACCTACTTAATGCTGCCATTGCATTGACATAGCATATGTGCTCCTAGTTCTGAGAGAAAGTTAGCAAAACTTTGGAAAACCTTGATTGTATGAGAATTGGCGGGTTGGGTGCAGGAAAAAGGGATGCTAATGGATAATTCACCTTCTTAACTTACACTGGCCATGCAAGACACTGACAGAACAGTCATGTGCATTTCACCAGCCCCATCTTAATTATTTTGTTGACAAAGAATTTGGCTAGGATAAGGTGTTGGGGGAGGTCTCTCCCTCCATTTAGTGCAGAAGCAGATGTGTGTTCCTTGTAATCATACGCCACTGAGCAGTAACTGGAGTTAATGTGATGTGGACCAGTGCACTCGAAAGATTTGTTTTTAAGAACAAATAGCACAGTTGGATCTAATCTTTCCAAGACGGATTGATTGGCGAGATCTTGTTTGTCCAACACATACTTGCATGCCTCGTTCCCTGATCTGAGTCACCCAATTATGCAGGACAGCAGAGTACTAGCCATAAACCCTAAGTATTCTGTCTGTCAAGGCCACCCTGCCTTGAGCCACCTTTCTTCAGCTGCACTTTGCAAAGCCTCTGATTTGCATCAGGCATTCGTGTTCGTCTGGATTTTCCTGTGTTTTTGTCTAATAGTTGCCAGAAATGGGGGTGGCGGCGGTTTCCCTGTCCACAACCCTCGAAAAGTTCTGTTTCTTCACATGCAGGAATCATGCATGGAGTCAGCTCGATTGGTCTTCCCTAACCCAGTGTCCTTCAGGTGTCTCGGACTACAACTCTCAGTATTGATGATCGCCGACCATTGGCCATGCCGGCTGTGGCAGATGGGGGTTGCAGTCCAAAACAACTGGCTGACACCAGCTGCACGGTGCAGCTGAGCAGGCAATGAACAGGCGATGGCACAAGCCAACCTCATTGAGGAGAAGCAGAAGGCAGCCTCCTCTGGTGATGAGGGTTGGGATGTGGGCGAGGGGGCAGCGGCAGCCCCCAGGCCTTTTTGCTCTGTTGGGGGGCAGAGCTGCACGTGCTCACCCACCTGCCTTGGGTGCTCTAAGCTGGCCTCAGGAGTTCTGGAGAGAGCTGTTCTCCTTCCAGGGGTGAACTGAGATTCAAATGCCAGTCTAGTCAGCTGGTGCGAGAGGGTGGGGACTTGGTCTTGGCCCGAGGCAGCAAAATCTCTTGGGCTGGCCCTGGGACTTCCACTTACATGGAACAAGAGAACTGGGATATTAACGCACGGCCAAGTGTTTAAAAAGAAAGCATTAAAATGCATATAACCACAACAGAAAGCAAACTACAGGAAGCAGTGTTAGCCAATCAACTGGACTTCTGTACAAACGCCAGCGATAATTTTAGACAAGTTTCCTGGAGGAAAAGCCCCATTAAACACAGTGAAACTTGTCTCTGAGTTAACATGGGTAGGGCTTCACAGTTGTTGAGCTGAACGTCACAGAGAAGAGGCCATCACGGAGCGGGTTGTGCTTCTTGCTGCTCAGCCTTAGCTCAGCCATGTTAGCAGTGCTGTCCAGAGTGGGGCCTCTGGGGGTGGGGCCTGGGGGTGGGTATAGCAGGTATTGGTGCTGTGTGTTTGCCACAACAGCACCACACAGGTGACGAACCAAATACGCCGTGCACACCTGAGCATATTGAGTGTCTCAGCTTGCCTAGGGCTTACCCCTTAAGGCAAAGAAAATAAGCTTGAAGGTGTGTCAGTAATCCTGACGAAATATGGTGCCTGCAAAGCACTCTACACACCACTCCTTTCAGAATAAAATATTTTCCAAAATAATTGGAAAACATTAGGATGCCAGGGTCTTCTTTCTGCTCCTGAACCTCCTCTGGCCAGTTTTGGCAGCAGAAAGAGAAGAGTTGCTTGCATACCCGGCCCAGTCTTCTGCCTCCACCTCCATCCTCTAGCCACATTCTTTCTCTCCCCAGTCCCTTTTCTCCTTGTTTCCCTCCTCTTTGCTCCTTTGTCTTGCCCTTCCTCCCCCATCCTAGCCCTTAGCCATGCTTTCACTCACCGTTTTCCCTTCCTCTCAGCCCCTGGCCTTGCTCTTTATCTCTCCCTTTGCAACACTTCTGTTGCTCCAATGGAAACAGCTTCCTAAGTGGCTGTTCTGATGGCAGAGGAAGAGGTTGAAACACCAGGTGGGGATCCAAGTAGCTGAGCCTGCAGTCAAGCTGTGGAAAGCATCTTCCTTCCTTCTGAGTCTGGGGCATTTTGCTTTCCTGTGGGGCTGGGGAAAGGGCTGCACCTTTGTGGAGAGGAGGTAGAAAGCAATCCCATGTAGGCTGGCTCAGGAGTCATTCCCATTGGGATCTGTGTAAGGATGCAGAGGCTTGGGTGGCATTGGTGGCTTGGAGTACCTTCTGCCACCTTTGGCTGGTGGCCCAGCTATGGACAGGGACAGACTAGATTCAGTAGTTCACACTGATGTAATCTCTAAACTGGATTATTGCAACACGCTGTATAGTCCAGAAGCAGAATGCAGCAGCCAGATCGATAACCGGGACCTGCAGGTCTGAACATATTTGCTGGTTATTTAATTTACCATTGTATCATTATTACCAGAAAAGGGAAAGGACTTGTGGTATTTTCTGCTTCAGAAGCAACACAATTTGACTAGTCTTGGCTCTGTGTATATGCAGTGGGCTCTGTTTGTTTTTTGACTTCCTCCTCCTCTCACCTTTATCCCCATGACAACAACCCTGCGAGGTGAGTTAGCCTGAGAGTGAGTGACTGGCCCAAAGTCACCCAGGGAGATTCATGGCCAAGTGGGTGTTAGAATCCAGATCTCTCCAGTTCCAATCCAGCGCTCTAACCACTATGCTAGACTTACTTTTTCATGTTTGGAATTTGGCTTATCCTTCATTAGGAAAAAAGGCACAGATTTGCATAAAATGTGCATGCCAGTGTATGTGCATAGGAGTTGGGCAATCAGACACTGACTATCATTTCCATAGAAATACAATAGAACTTGTTGAGGGGGGAGGTAACCTCTGTAGCCACTGCAGGCTGATAACAGTAACAAAAGAATGGCAACTTGAAAGCATCTGCTTTCTCTTATTGTCCTTTATCTTTAAACCAGACTTAGACCAGATAGCCCTTCCACAGAAGACTGCCTTCTCTCCTCTTTCTTCTCAACTGTTGTCTTCCCTTCTCTGTTTTAGATTTTAAGCTCTAGTCAGGAACCAGGACACGGTGTCAGGTACACAGATAGTGCAACCCATACAGAACTTATGCATGCTGAAAGCCCGTCTTTGGAATCAACTGTGGTTCAGTTCTGCATGTTTTAAAGATCACTGTTTTGTCTCTGTGGACAGGGTCTTCTGAAATGGACGAAGCAGCCGCTTAGTGTCTCAGTTAAGCACAGAGGAGGCAGCACAAGAGGTAAATGAAAGAAGCTGAAGTGGGAAGCAGAGAGATAGGAGCTATTATCTCTTCTGTGCTCAAGACCCCTGAAATTCTTCCCCTGGCAATCCTCTTCCTGCCCTGGAGGAAGGCTGAATTCCTTGCCCTGCAGGAGCCGCTTGCATGATTTCTCTTACCTTGTGTAATTCTGCTGTGTTTGCTGCTTTGCGTAACTTTATTCTGGTTTTGCCAGGAATGAGGAAGGGCCTCTGCAGGCTATCAAAGCCCCTCCTCCACCCTTGACCACTGCAGGCCTTATTCCTTCCCCTTCCAAGCCCTTGGTGAGAATTACCCTTGCAGATCAGCACCCTAAGCCCCCCCCCCACCGCAACTGCATATACCCCTTCCAAAAGCCTTTCATAAAATTTGGGAACTATAGTGGAAAAACCAATTTGGCAACCACCCTCTTCTCCCTCCTGTTAGAGCTAGACACTTCCACAAATAAAAAATTGGCTGGAAAGAAGGCAGCTGCATTTCCCAAGAAGCTGGGCTCTGCACCGGCTGTGCCTTTCTGTGCTTCCAGATCATCCATGCAGCCCTTAGGAAAAGCCTGCGAGCGTCTGATTCTGCGCACTCTGGCTTCTGTGAGCTTCAAGGCTCTCAAGTGCCAGCAGACCTGTTTCATTTGAAACCGCAAACCCTGCAAGGGACACGCGGGAAGGGTGGCGGGAAGGTTTGCTGCTCTGGACGAACAGTGGGTGAAGATGGGCACGTGCTTGGGCTCCATGGGAGGAAGTTGGTGGCAGGGAGCAAGCAGGGAGCAGGAGCACCTTCCTCTTCCTCACCTTCCCTGCCGCTGACTTCAGTTAGAACTCTGGGAGAGGAAGGAGACACACTGTGCGCACTTACCTTCACCTGCACACACTTAGCAGCCCAGTTGTCCTTCCCTCTCTGTGGTGCCCACTGGGGCGATGGCAGGAGGACTGGGGTGGATGGGGAGGAGGTGACCTCGATGCCCCGCCGTGCATGGCCCTTCATTAGGCACTGCAGGGGTCCCGGGCAAATGTGAAGCCCACCGTGGCTTATGAGTGTGGTGTGAACCTGCCCGTGGTAGGGTTCATACAGCACAATAACCATACCCATGGGTTGTATGTAGGTTGCCACTGAACTTTGGGTTGTAGTTATTGTTAAAACTTGGGATGTTATGTAGCCTTAACCAGATCACTAACCATGGCGAACAAGCCACAGTTCACAACCCACAAACAAGTCATGGCTTCTCTTTATGTTGTTCATGGTTAACAAGTCATGGTCTGTTAGTGCATCCAAGTTCAGACAACATAATAACCCTCATTTCGACAACAGTCCACCTTCAACCTGTGAGTGTGGGTTATTGTGTTGTCTGCACCTGGTTGTTCTCTGTTGTAATGCAAGTATTTGGGGGTGGCTTGGTCTGGAATGAGCAATGAACAGCCATTTACTTTACCTGAGACCTGCCAGAAGTGCTCTGTTGGTTTGGCTCCACACAGTGGCCTGCATTTTTGGAGGTGGGGCTGGAAGGGCTGTCGTGATAAATGCCTGCACTTCAAAATTTACCACTGGACCACTATCGGCAATTAAGTGGGTAAAGGAAAGGCGCCTGCCTTTGGAGCTATATGAGGGTCGCATAAAGAGGGACAGGGTTTCGTGTAGGTCAGAGATGTGCTAGGATTCTGGATCTGGCATTAACTACTCCCAGCCTTTTGCAAGTCGGACGGCATCCCTGCTGCCCTCAGATCCACATGCATTTCTCTCCACTTTCCTTGATTCCTGTGGCTCTTGGTCAACGGCACAAGTAACACAGAATCTAAAGGGCCTTGACTGGAGAAAAGGCTTGGCTTGGAAAAGCAGAGACTTGATGATGGTCTCTCCTTGCAGTGCACCTGCTCGGATTATCTGGGTCTGTTGAGGAGAGACAACGTGTGTGTGTGTTGCTGTCTTCTTTCCCCAGCCCAAACTCAGGAGCTTGAAGGGTGGCAAGTCATGCTTGGAATGAGACAAAGTCATCGCCAAAACCAAATTAACTATCACCAGCCTGCCCAAGATGCTGCTGTCCCCCCGAGGATCAGCTCCCCCAAGGTAAACGACATCAACCTGGAGGTGTTTAGTGACTCCACGCCTGAACTCAAGCGAACCCGCAAGCCAACCCGGGACAGAAGAGCCTGCAAAGTCGATTCCAAAGGCTCCAATGGGAGGGAAGGAGAAACCGTCACCTTCATTTCTGACACGGCAGAAGCCCCTCAGCCCTCAAGCTGCCCCACTCTGTCCCAAGCCTGGAACGCTTACAAAGCCGTCTTCTGCTGTATCGTGACGTGCGGAGGCTGTTTCCGGGACTGCCAGGCCAGCATCTCGTATCCATACAACGAGACATTGGCAGAGGAAGGGAAGAGAGAGTGCAATGGGCATTTGCCAAACAGTCCGGCCAGCAGCTCCCCCACCGAAAAGAACGGGAGCCAAACCAAAAAGAGCGCAGTGGGCAGCAGCTTCAGCTACCCAGATGTGAAACTGAAAGGGATCCCGGTTTTTCCAAACCGGAGCCCCAACTCCCACACGGAGACGGAGTCATGCTACAAGGAGACTCTGCCGGAAAAGGTCTCCCAGAATAGCACAGAGAAGCAGACTCTCTCCGACAGCCACCGAAGCTCTGAGGATCGCTATTCGTTCTACGAGGAGCTGGATTTTGAGAACGATGAGCAGGACAGCTCCATGTCCATGTCCAGCCATCAGATTGACATTCTGATCTTCAAGAAACTGACCGAGCTCTTCAGCGTCCACCAGATCGATGAGCTGGCCAGGTGTACCACTGACACAGTCTTCCTGGAGAAGACCAACAAGATCTCAGACCTCATCAACAGCATCACTCAGGACTATCACTTGGATGAACAAGATGCCGAGTGTAGGCTGGTCCGGGGCATCATCCGCATCAGCACACGCAAAAGCAGGAAACGACGCCCTGTTGCTTCCTCAGCCCTCCCAAGCCAGGAGGAGAATGCAAACCAAGGGAATCTGCCTGATAGCGGCAATGAGACCATGCTGGCGTCCGTGGTCACCAGTGAGGAAGGTATGTGTGGACCTCTGCTTCCTGCAGTGTGCAGAAGGGCAGGAGGAGGAAAGCTGGGGCCAGACAATCCCAGACCAAGCATGGAGGAAGGCAGGGGCATCTCAGAGCAGGGGTGGGCAACTTCGGTGGGTCTTTGGACCATTTCCTACCCCTGGCTGTGCCCATCTGCCATTGCTGAAATTGGTACCGTGCTGATGAGCTTGTCAGCAGCAGCCAAAAGCAATATTTTCTTTTCTAAACAGGATGTGCTCTCTCTATAGGCTATGCTTTAAATTAAAATTGCAGCCTTTCTGCTGCCAAATGTCAGTGATGGGAACCCCAAAAGGCTGGAGGGAGCCATGTGTTGTCCACCCCTGCTGTAGGGGCTCAGAACTAGGAATGAGGGGGAAAGAATTTTACTGCCCAAGTTCTAGCCTCATGAGACAGGCTCAGTATGAACAAAAGGACGTTCTTCACACAGCATGCAATTAACGTTTGCAATTCACTGCTAACGTTTAAGTCAGAAAGAGCAAACCACAGGCTCCCCGCCCCCACTTCCTGGGTACTTTAAAATGGGTGGTCTAACTTTGGCATTGGAGGATCTACTCTGGGATTTACTGAAATGCTGGGATCCACCAACCTGATTCAGGTGGGAAATAGTGGGGGACAGACCTACAGTTGGAATGAAGGGACAGGGTGCTCTGAACATGTTCTGAGCGTAAGACATTGTTTTCGGTATCAGATGCGGTTACACAAAAGGCTGTCTCCAAGCTTCCTTCCTTCTTTTATTTTTAAATTTATAGACTGCTGAAGAACCCAGCAGGGTGCGCTAAGCAGTGAACAACAATAAGATACAAGCCAACATTACAATTCCTTGTTCCTAGGGGGGAATCTCAGCAGGCTAATGGGAGGGTGGGAGTTATTAGTTACAACTGTCAACAAAGAGGAATTCAACGTCCTTGTCAACCAGAAAGCTGCCAGTGTATCCTCAGCTCCCTTCTAATCGCCTTGGCCTGAGGTGCAGGCAAACGCCCCTCCACAGAGGCATTGCTGCAGGAGCTTCAGCCACAGGGTCAGCACTGCTTCACCCCAGTTCCCTTCTCCACATACAACCCTTGGATCAAGTGTGCGCACACCACACCCTGCTCTGAGTGGGCTGCCTACTCGATTCCTCACCAGGCCAAGCGCCTGGCATATTTATGTGCTCCAAAGTCCACTTGTCTGTATTTTAAAAGAAAACAAAAAAGGAAATCTTTGCTCACAAGTGGTTTGGTTTCTGTTTCGAAAACTAGGGGTGGGGAACCAGCAGTCCTCCGGATGTAACCTGTCTGGCCTGTGGTCTCCCCTGCCATTTGGAGCTTTGTATGCATCCTGAATCTCTTCCAAAGGCAAGCTATAGCCAAAGCTCGTAGGTGAATGGTCTTATGGAGTGGGCCCTGGTACCGTTCTCTTGCCATAAGAGTTGTAAACACGCCAGCAGTGGATACTGCTGGCTTGGACCTGGTGTGGCTCCAGCCCTCCCCAGGGATGAAACTAGAGGTGACGAAGGACATCTGTGTGTGTAGTAGGGAGGTCACTTGTGAATTGGCAAAGAAAGGAGACTAGTTTGCCTTTGTGAATGCATAGGGATAGATGCAATTTAGAAAGAACTACTATAATTTAAATAGAGAAGCAGTGAGAAGACTGACATACCTGTTGCTGTCAATAGGCACCTTCAAGGTCTGACTTTCTTCTTGGTCATTCTTTAAACTGGACTTGGACTACAGCGCCCTTCAACACAGAGCCAGCCTCTGGCAGTCCTTCAAATAGAGGATGGACTTGTCTAACAGAGGACATGTGGCCACCCTAGTATATACGCTCTCCCATGGTTCATTTTTAAAAAGGCAGCAGCCCTAGGGAAGGAGAGTAGAATGTGGAGGATGCCTCTCGGAAGCTTTGTGCTGCTGAGCAAGTGGTGGCTTCGGGGGGATGTTTCAGGTATCATACGATGTGTGTGCATGTCTGTGGCAGAGCAGATTTGCAGCCACATCTTTCTTCGAAACAGCATAAATAAAAGGACAATCAGACCCAAAGGGTCCTCTGGACTGTGCCACAGTTGTACCATCAGCTGTGCTTCTCTCCCCATGGCTGAAATTCCCTCTTTGGCACGGCTCTTAAAACCGTAGGAGTCCCACTGTTGTCTGTCTGGTCATCCTGCAGGGAGAAAAGGAGAAAGGCAGAGGTGTAGCATGGGCTGTACTTTGCTCCCCTGTTGCACCTTTGTGATCAAAGGTGGATCCCAAGTGGACTAAGGTCCAAGAAGCTTTGTGGAGCATTGGAATTGCAAACACCTGCAGGCGAGACAGTCCATGGGGCAGCTTTGCTGGAAAGGAGCCCTTCTAAGAAGTGCTTAACTTGGGCCAACCTCTTTCTAATCTTACTCTTTAGCTCCCCAAACTGAGCTCCAGCCAGATATTCTGTGGGTGAGAACGTAACAGCCCTGGTGGATCAGGCCAAAAATCCACCTAGTCCAGCTTTCTGTTCTCACTATCATGGGAACCCCACCAGCTGGACATGAGCATAGGATTACCCTCAGGCTCTCCAGCAACTGGTCCTCAAAAGATACAGTGCCTGTGAGACCAGAGGTAACAGATCACCATGCTAGAGGTAACCTATTGCCATGATGATTAGAGCCATCCTAGCTGTCATCCATAGCCGCCCAGGTACAGACAATGAAATAACCTTGCTTGTCAGCGCTGATGTGGCCCTCTCCGTGTGGGATCCCTGTTGCCATTCCGCCTCGTTAAGGGGGCAGGGGTAGCTTTTGGTCTGCAGTGGGAGACATCTGAAAGGGTTGAAGGCATGGTGGTCTTTGCAGCCAGCACTCCTACCTGGTGAACATGTAGTTGGTCTGGCAAGTTTTCACTGGCCTCCAGCTTGCCCTGGAGAACTGCTTGATTCCTGGCACTCGGATCACCCAAGTTAACACAGGCTGGGGAAAGATTCTGCATTTGTTCAGTGTGCTTAAACCAAATAAACATGGGAGGCAGGCAAAGAGGAGTGCGGTGTGGTCATGCTCCACCACACAGTGGCTTCTTTCTTGGAATTAGTGATAAATGTGTTGAGGCTGAAAAGAGCATGTGATGAACTCTGCTTTGACCACCGAACACAAGCATGAGGGGAATAGGCAGACCTGGGAAACTAAAGCCAACATTCCAGATGAGTCCAAGGTTCACTATCCACATGCCTATCTCTTGGCCCGTCTCTTCCATCTGCAAAATGGGGACAGTGGCAACTTGAGTTGTAGGCTGATTGTGAGAATGGATGGGAGGGAGAGGGTAGCTGATCAACTGAAATAAATACGGGCCTTGCTTAGATAAGGGTCTGTGTACAATCAGGGGTGGAAGGGTTTGCCCCCAGGCCAGTCCACTGGCTCCTCGCCCATCTAGCGCACCGCTGGCTATGCAACCAGATGTGGCATGAAGGGAAAGCAGGAAGCCGTGATGGGCTGCAACTCTCCGCTCCTTTTATTAAATATGTGCCTGCACGACAAGTGTGGTGTGTGAGCACTTGCCTTTTCCGTCTTCACCCACTTGGCTGGGTGTTCAGGTATGTGTGTGTGAGAGAGTCCTGTGGCTGCACCTCCCCTCAGGTTTCAGCCTTTTTGTTATCTGCCTTCCAGATCTGTCGGTTCAGATCTCTGTGGAAACCACAGCAGACGTGAAGGCCAGGAACATGCGGCATGGAGCATACGGTCCTGCAGGTAAGTGATCTTGGCTGCATCCGTGCTGCAGTGTCAGGCCTTTCGGTAGCTCAGCCCTTCCCAACCTGGGGTCCTCCAGAGGCGTTCACACTTCCGGGAACTGTTCCTAGCTGCTCCCCATCGTTCCCCACCGGCAGGGCCGACAAATCAGAAGTGAAAGTGCTCCTGTCTTGACTATACAGTATATAAGAAACTTTAAATAAAATAAAAGTAATATTCTGGCTTATGACTGCCAAAACACTGGAATGACTGACAGCTTACTTACCTGAGTCTGTGTTGAAGCCACTTGCTCTTCAGAGCTACGCCTGCACCAAGCGACAAACATCAAAAGAAGTGATGCAAATGCATCAGATCCGTCGGCACATTGGCAAGACATAATCCTATGCAAGACTGCTGCTTTAGCCAAATTATTGCTTCCCTGACGTTGTCTGGGAAGCCATAGGATTATCTGGAGTTCCAGTCTGGAGATCCTATGATCTTGGAGCTGGGACTCTGAAAGCCAAGCCAGTCTTCTTCCTTCCCTTCCCTGGTGCTTTATCTAGATGGCCAAAAACAGCCATACAGATTTTTTTTAAAAGAAAGCCTGGCATGAAGCTTAGCTGAGCTCACACTGCAGGCAGAGGATGCATGAACTCCTCTCAGTTCAGAGGTCTGCAGGCATCAGGAGTGCAGGGACAGGGCTGCACCCTTAGAGCATCAGCTAAAAGGCAACCAAGAGGTTTTCATGGTTCATTTAAACACCTGTATTGAACAGACAAGGTGCAAGTCAATTAGGAAGTTCCGCATCTGTGGGGGCATTCACCTGCCGCGCTTACCTGTCTTACCAGCACACACACAAGCAGAACCTCGGAAGCAGACCCTAATGAATGGACAGGATCCCAGCAGTCCTTTAGGTAATCTGTTCTTAGGCCAGTGAAGCCTTCAGTGTTTAACGCCAGCATTTTGCTTTGAGGCTGGAAATCTACTGGTAGTAACTTCTGTTTTCCTCCCCACTACCTCCCTCTCTTCGGTAGCATGGTAGGTGGGTTTTCTTATTGACATTCTTTCAGTGCTATTTATGGTGAATTAAAAGAGGAGGCATGATCTGGAAGGGAACTGAAGCAATTGGTTTTATACAAGTTCCCATTTTTGCAGGTTTGACTCATTTTGAGTGGCTGCGTAATCATAAATTGCCTTTTCACATTAAAGCAAACACCTAATGAATGTTAGAAACCCATTTATTATGTTCTTCCATTTAGGCTTGACAGTGCCTTTATGTTCCCCTCCCACCCCCACAAGAAACATTTCTGACTATGGGCCTACCGACCTGTTTAACATGTGCAACATGTCTTTTGTAATGTTATTCTCTTTCCGCTAGCCATGGAGAGAGGCAAAGTTCAGTACAAGGTATGGAAGCTCTGCTCTCAGACCACTGGAAATGGTGCTCACTGCTCTCTTGGCTTTTGAGGTTTTTCCAGATGTTGCCTGTGCATTTTCAAGCTGGTTTACACAGCCTTAAGGGCTAGGAACTTGCTCTGGATTTGTTTGAAAGCCAGCTGTGATTTTCCAGATGCTGAATTCTCTCCTTCAGTAACCGTATTTCATACAAACAGAAAACCTGAGGGTGGGAAGTGTACCTGTGTGGGGAAAGGGGCTTCAGAAATTGGGGCAGTTGTTCTTGCCCTATGGAGGGCAAGCTCTGATCTTGAAAAGGGAAGCTACCAGGTTGTAAACAATTTCAGGTTTCAGTTCTTGCTCAAAGACAGGTTCTAGCCCTCACGGCTGCGGACTTTTCAGAGGACTCTGCTGCTTACCTTGGATTGTAGGGTGGGTCATATGCCTATTCCCTTTTCCATTGATCCGTATCTATCTTTCTTCCCCTTTCCGGGGTAAGCAAACTTCAGGACTGTGGGATTTACTTTTATTTTTTTACTAAAACCATGAGGTCTACCATGCTGACAGGATGCCTCTAAAGCAGGGGTGGCATCAGGCTGAATCTGCTTTGTTATTACTAGAATGCCAAGATCTACAAGCCAGAGTCAGGGATAAGAAACAGAGTTAAAGGGCAGACTGCATCTGAGGAGGGTTTGAGCCTAGAAATGTGTTTTCAATCCCAGAATTACGTTTCTTATTTCAGGCAAATGTCCATTCCTGGCTGTTCCATGGCTTTCATTTCAACTGCATTTAACTAGAATTAAAGAATTCTACTCTTACAGAAGTGGGACCTCAAGTTGCCCAGAGTTCTGTCCACCCCTGCTTTAAAAAGATGCCGGGGCCTCGTACGCCTCTCCTTGTGCTCTCTCTCTCCCCTTTCCTATATCTGTCTCTTGTTTTTAGGGTTGCGTTGACTGCCCATCACTGATGTGCCTGAGCTATGCTTTAAGGTGGGCAATTTGTAAGCCAGAGATACCTGCAGAGGCCCTCTCTCATCAGGAGTGCAGAACCTGCAGCCTAGTCCAGCCCATGCGGCCCCTTGGTGACTCTCCAGGGGCCAGGCCTAGGCTACCAGCCCTGCCCTTGGAGGGCTTTCCCATCACTGTCTCCCATCAGAGATCAAGGCAGCGGGCTTCTTCCTCTGTGCTGGGAGGAGGCACAGCTTGGGGTGGGCCAGGCCTACTGACACCATCTGGCCAGCAGTGGCTGGGGTGCAGAGAGGTCCACTCCCCACAACAAAATAGTTTGGCAGCCTGACATAGGTAAGAGTAAGGTCTGGTGGGATTTGTAGACCTAACCATCTAGAAGCTAGAAGCTCCTACAGCAGCTTTAGGGAACCTTGAGACTGACAAGGTCTGAGCGCACCAAAACTAGTTTTTAGTCTAGCTGCATTCTCTAAGCCTGATGCAAGAATGACCGTGTACAATTCCTTGGTTTTATGTGGGATCTTGGTCTAGTTATAAACAGGGCTGTGATTCTTCAGCTTATCTACAACTACAATGTATGAGCACAGGCCTTGGTTCAGAATATGGCCTTTATTTATTTGTAAAGGTAGCCTGGAGCTTTTTGTGGTTACAAAGGGACCCTTAAAAACATGCCAGGAGAACTTGGTCAACAGATCAGGATTTCTGTAACCCACTGAGCTTTCGTGCTCTTTCTCTGTGGCAAGCAGAAACAAGATTTTGAAAATTAAAAACCCAAGAAAACAAGCTTACATAAATACAGGCGGATTCTGTTACATCCTTGATTTTGGAGTCCAATGAATAATGAATGGATGCTGTTTAGTGGCAGGAGCTATTTATGGTTTCATGTCATTTTGGTGAAGCAGGTCACTGATTTTGTTCCACTTCAAATGCCTTTTCAGGCTGGTAGCTGGACAGGGGGATGTCCAGCCCCTGGCTTTTGCTGTAGCCAGATATTTTAACAAATCCTGTCATCTTTATGCTCTATAATGATGTTTCTGTACTGCTACTTCCCAGATGTGTTAGACTACAATTTCTATGGCCCATGTGTTGGAATACAACTCACATCTGGAGGACACCAGGCTGGTAATAGCCTACCTATGTCAGCTTTTGGGGGGAACTTAAAGCCAATTTGCACAGTTCCATTTCCAGAATTGTTAAATATTTGCACAGAACTTGATTTTTTTCAGTACAGATTATAAAACAGCCCTGGTTATAGTATCCAGCTTATCCTTTGAGCATGTATTGGTGCATAAAATCCAATATGAGCTGTTTTTTTTTTAAATAACATCTTTTTCCTCCCATCCCCAAGGATCTCCACTAAGCACGGGCTCTTCTCTCCAGGACACCGAAACAGACTCATCTGGCGCACCTCTGCTTAAAGTATATTGCTAAGAAAACGGACCTAAGGAACCTGTGGTGGGCAACAAGGACACGGAGCAAGTTTTCCTTTCATAAATGATGCATTTGATGTCACTTTATTTTGTTCAACGCTAAACAATTCAACTTGCGTTTTAAGTGAGCCTCACGTGTGAGTGATGGACTCATAGTGTTGCAGCAATATGACAAGCGATGGCCTGCTGGTGCCACCGCTAGTTTGTGCCTTTCTGGGAATGTGCCCAGTTTGCAAACTTTCAAGTTTGACGCTGCTGTAAACTTGCCTTCAGGTGAACAGCTTGTGCCTTTTGCAGAACTTTCATCTCTTCTGATTGAGAGGTTTACTGATATCACGTAGCGGCAACTGTGGCTTTTTGGGTGTGCCTTTCTGTGCGATTATTCCAAAGGCCTTGTGAGATACTGCTTGGCAGGAGCCACCATTTTAGCTGTAATGGGTCGGCTTAGTGCTTGGAGGTTTAAAAGGCTTGTTTCTGCAGCTCCATCCTCTATGGACGCTATGCTTGACCCAAGAACGACTCATCTGGATGAGCGGCATGAGGAGAGCAACCAAACAATGACAGGTCTGTCTGGAAGCAGCATGTAATCCGAGGCCATTTTCCAGTGGTTTCCAACTAAGCCACCCCAAGACAGTTAACGTCAGCTGTGAACAAACTGGCCAAAATATGATTTTCTGTGGGTTGCTGGTCAATTGCTTTGGTTAAGTGCCATCAGTCATTGCTCAGAGTCTGAAATCAAGGGGTGCAATCCAGAAGCAACTAAAATGGGTGAATTGTGGCTGCAACTGTAAGCTCTGGGATTTGGCTTCAGTTTAACTATGGATTCCTTTTTTTCCTAAACTTATTCCTCACTGCGTTGCCAAAGCGTTTTAAGTCTTACAAGTAAGAGAAGAAACAAGCTTAGAACTTTGGTTGTAATTTCTAATCTCTACAAGGTTATTTGGAATTGCCCCTATTAAGTGTTGAATATTATGGAGAGAAACTAATTTGGGATGGGTTGTAGGAATTTGCACTTTATCTAGAGGGATACAGCTAACTTCAAATTTAGAGTAGTTTGAAACCTGTTTTAAGTATCTTATTTTCTCTTGAAGGACAATGGGAATTGTAGTTTGGCAGTTTTAGCAGCCTGCGTCAGTTCATGGAAATAATACAGCCAAGGTCTGTTGCTTGGGATCCATGTATGGCTAAAACCTATTTGAACCTGGTTTTGAATTTATAATACTCCTGACAATACACACCTCTCTCAGCTTTGTGGTTCAAAACCATATTGCTTCTACTTAAGTAGCAGAAGAGTTTGATGTAAGTATTCTGCAAGTGCTGTGGGTAATTTCACCAGCCTCTAGCCTTCAACCACCCCTGTCTGGAGTTGTAACTGCCTGTTAATTTCATCTTTCTCGGTGCTAGTTGCCATTACTAGAAAGATTCCCATTTACACAGCCCTCCTTCCCTCTTTTCCCATCCTTTAGTTGCATCTCTAGCCAAAAGATCAGCACACTCAAATTTCCTCTTCCTTCTCTGGCCTTCTACCACTGAAGCTTTCCAGATTGCGGGGGGGAGGGGGGGGCACATCTGCGTTTCTTGAAGGTTTGGCGGGTGAGAGGCCTATCTGTGTCCTGGTGAGTGGAAATTACCCCCACCAGGTTCATTCCTAGACTTTTCTTATCATGCCTCAACTTTCACTCGCCCTCATCATAAACTTGGACTTGATCATTGCTTGTGTATAATCCCCCCTGCCTTTTCAGTGTGCACTCTTTATTGTAAATAACACATGAAAATAATATGGTGCTGATTTTTGGAGTGTGCCACTTTTCCCTACTGAGCTTTTGTTGCTTCAAGAGCTTTTGTCGCTTCTCTATTCTGCATTTTTCTGTCTGGCCTGCCTGGAGGGAAGGGTGTAGAAAGGAACCCGGGAGGGGAGCTGTTACTGAAGGTTAGGTAACTTTGATTCTGTTGTGGTGTGTGTGTGTGTGTGTGTGCGCGCTCGCTCGCTCGCTCGCTTGTAAAAAGCAAATGAATCCATTTTCTTTAAAATGCAGAAGGTTTTCCTTCCTTCCTTCCTTCTTTCTTTCTTTCTTTCTTTCTTTCTTTCTTTCTTTCTTTCTTTGTTTGTTTTCAAGCTTTCCCCTCTTCCCCGCATATGAAGTGTCAAAATGAAAGCCAGTTTTCCACAGCTGGGGATAATGGGAGGCCGGTAGAGGTGACAGGATGAACTAAAGGATGGCGGTAGGATCCATGAAAGGATAAATGTTCTGCCTTTTGTAAATAAGGACCATGCCTTTGTAAAGTTCTCTCTGTTGTTCTGGCTTACTTAAATGATATTTGGAATGTGTTTTTGACCATGCCAGTTTCCTAAATTGCGAAAGGATCATGGCCTTGCATGAAGAGGCCTGGGCCGTATCATCTATTATTGTCTACTCCAGGGGAGTCAAAGCTATTTCAGGCTGAGGGCTGGATTCGATTTTGAAGAAGCTCTTGGAGGCAACATTGCAGCAGCAAGCAAGGCCAAAGACAAAAGAGGTGCCCCCCCCTCCAAATACAAGCATCTTTTAGCATGAAACTCTTACTGGTAGTAACTTGAGCCATCGGGGAGGCATTTCAGCTTTTCAAATGTGGAGAGACTGTGCCAAGCTAGGAAACCACCAGAAGATTGACAGCTGCGAAAAAGGGATGGAGCTACAGGAAGGGAATGTGGCTGCCTGGGGAGTCCAAGTGGGACCCGATTTTTCCACTAGGAAAATCCCTCTCCCCATTTTCAACCTTGGAAATTATCCTGGGTCTCCTCACACTTAGAAAATCAGGATTGATTGAATACAGGGTCCCTGTTTATGCGCCATTCAATTCCCTGGATCCCTAATTTTAACTGAAAGCATTTGCATAGCTCTGGTTCTTATAGGTTTCTTGTACAACTGTTGAAATGCCTCCTTTAGCCTTCCAGTTTGTTACTGTAACAGCACCTGTAGGCTCACCTGCCTTCTCGCTGAAGTTTCATCCATTTATTTCCCCCGAACAGAAGGGCTGTAGGTTTGTATAAATAGACTGATCGGAAAAGGTGTAATGTGGACCAGCCATCCCAACGGGGTGCTTTCCTGATGTGTTAGACTACAAACCTGGCTGGGGAAGGTGGGGGTTGTGGTCTAATATAGCTGGAGGTCACCGGGTTGGGGAAGGCTGGTATTGACGGAGACCTGTGTGCTGAGAAAATGTGGTGGCTCAGTCGAAGTGGGTTTAAAAGTCTTCAGCACTTTGTCACAGAACTGATATCTTCAGGGGAATGCAAAGCTTCGAATGCCTTCAACCTGATGGACCAGTTTTCCTTCTTCTGTTTTGCTAGGAGGGAAATCTACTGGCTGCTGTCACCAACTTCCACTGCCCTGAAAAGCAATCTCAGGTGTCTTGTGGCAACTCCCCTCCTTCTCCTTTTTGCAATTAGACACATTCTTGGGTTTCCCCATCTAGAAGAATGCAGGGGTAAAACAGATCAGGGATTGCTTACTTTGTGGAGCAGGGGAGGGCGGGTGGCATGGTGCTCTCATAAAATGGCTGCCATAGGTGATGGTTTTGTCCCATTCGTAAAATGGCTGATGGTGTCCAATCACAGGCTTCCCTGTGGCAAGCTGGCTAAAAGAAAACCTGTGTGCCAGAGAACCCACACACAAGGCAGAGCAGGGGGTCTGAGCTTCAAAAACACAAATCTTGGTTTTGTTCCCAGGTAAAGGCGGCGCTAGAGGGTGGCCTTTTACTTTGCAGCTTGCCAGCCTCCCAGTTAAAAATAATTATTTCTTTAAATATCTCAAGAAACAAATAACATGGAGGGTAGGCAGGGGCCAAGAGAGAGACTCCAGAGATGGACTTGTGTTGCCTCCAACTGCAGGTAAGGCCCTGTGTTTGTGAATGCTTCCTATTTTCATCCCTGCTCAAAGAAAGCCAGCAGATCAGGGAAAGAAGTTCTGACACAGCCATTTCCACAGGAAGCCACACTGAATGCTGGCATAATAGAGCGCTGCTCTCCTCTGGGCACAGCATGCCAGCACTGGTCAATCATGGAGAAGGCCAAGGTGTAGCTCTTGGGCAGCACGAGCCATTTGAGCACGGAAAGAAATGTTCATGTTGAAAGTTCAGCACTTAGGGGAGGTTAGAGGCCTGCATATATCATATAATCAGGTGCCAAACCTCTTTTAGGCCAGGGACAAAGTCTTTTTATTTGTTCTTGCAAGACATCCCAAACACACTGCATTTTTAAAAATAATGACACAAAAATGTGTGTTTTTAGGAGGAGCTGTTAGTGAGAGTATAGTTCTTTCAGACCATTTAACATTCTCTTCAGCAGCTTTCCTCACTTCTGCCATTCCTTCAGGACACATAGCTCTTCTTGCTGTTATGTACCATCAAGTCATCTCCAACCTACAGCAATCCTGTGAATGACAGCCCTTCAAAATGTCCTATCCAGGACTTCCCTGCTTAGTTGTTCTAAATCCAAGGCTGTGGCTTCCTTTATGGAGTCAATCCTTCTCTTATTTGGTCTTGGTTTTCTTCTTCTGCCTTTGATTTTTCCTAACATGATTGTCATCTACAAGGAGTCTTGCCTTCTCATGATGTGTCCAAAGTAGGACAGCCTTCATTGTGTCAGTTTTGCTTCGCGAGAAAGCTCTGGCTTGATCTAGGACCTGCTTGTTTGTTTTTCTCTTGGTCTAGGGTATTCACAAAGATCTCCTCCAGCACCATGTTTCAAGCACATCAGTACAGAGCTCTTAATGTCGGATAATCTCTCAAGGTAGGGTAGGACCATAACCCCCCAAACCCCAAAGATACTAGCTTGTTTTACCTTAAACTTCTTAATGTCAGTAATGAAGCCTAAGAGGCATTTCAACCAACCAGCAAAGCTTTGGAAAACCACCAAAGAAACAACCCTTTGGGAAATTGAAGGATTGGCAACAGGCAAAAAAGGAGCTTGGCCATCTAGATGACCCAGATGGGTCGGATTTGACCCCCAGGTGGTCTAGATACCCTCTCCTGATATACACAATGGCGCCCAGCACTGGCGCCCAGCACTGAATCCAACACACCTGCAGGACACCTGGTGGGGGAGCCTCATATTCAGGATCGTACTTCTTTTCATTCCAAAGCACAGCCTTGGTTACTAAAACCTTGATAAGGAGAAGTGGCTTTCAACTTCACAAGACCCAGCACTCATTTGCACCCCCCTCCCACCCAGGAGCTCCCTAACCCTCTCGAAATAGATGACCCAGACCTGAGCAATTCAGTTCTGGAGACTGTGTGTTTTATTTAGCCCTCCGCAAGGCAGGCCAGTCCTAACTTTCACCTGGTGCACTTTAGGTAGTGTCAATGGAATCAAAGTTCAGCTTACGTATTTTGACCTGGCATTGGGAAGAGTGTCTTGTATGGGGCAGTGCCCTCCACACTGTGCAATCCCTGTCTCCCTCCAGTGCTTCATCTGTACCTTCCCTACCTGGACATACACAGCTGAGGAATGTGGAATTGAACTAAACCTTTCCATCAAACTGATCATCCTCATTGTTCTACCCCATGCCTAGAAAACAGAAAAGGCTGGCACCTCTGTGCCTATTAGAGCCAGGGGTGGGGGCTGAGGACAACGCACTAATGCAGGGAGTATGCTGGTCACCCGGGTGAAGTCCATTCTCGTACCACCTGTTTGTTTTCATAGTAGCAGGACACAGTAAGCTGTTTGCACTAAGGCCCAGCCAAGGCCTTGATTCTTGAACATTTTGGCCTCCGATGACAACACAGCCTCGGCGGCATTCCACAGCGTTGGCCTTGGAACAGGGAAAGTGGAGTGGGGCCTCTGGGCTCACGCACCAGGTGGTTCAGAGGCTGAGCAGCTACTGTGGCTGCAACAACTCGGTTTTCCTGTAGCACAGAAGCTCTCTGGGTATAATTCAGATATACAGAGCAACTCTGTTTCTTCAGAGAGGTCAGTTCTGTTACATTCACTGGAGTTTTCTTCCACCCATGTAAATGTGCAAAGGATCAGACAGTGATTTGTAGGTGAAGGAAGCATTCTTTGAGTTTCTCCAAGTGAGACTGTGATGTGAAAATCAAAGTGGCTTGACTAGGAATTCCAGCTCTTGGCCTGCAAAGGCAACACAGCAGCACAGCAGCAGCAATCACCCAGTCAATGAGAAGGCAAGGATGAAATGTTTGAAAAGCAAATTATCCATGTTTCAAGGAAGCAAGAGGTCATCGTTGTGAGGCACTTCAATTTCCCCACCATCTATTGGGAGACAATTCTGCCAGACACAACCCTTGCAAGAGATTCCTAACATATGTTGCTGATAGTTCCTCAAACAGACCGTGGAGGAAGAAACAAGAGGAACATCTCTTCTTGACTTGACACTAACCAACAGGGAAGACTGAGTGGACAAAGTGACAGCTACAGAAACTATGGGGGAAAGTGACCATTGCAGACCTGAATTTTTGATTTGAAAGGAAACAAAATGTACCCTGAATTTCAATACAGCCAATTTTAATAAACTCAAAACAATGATAAGTAATGTCCCAAGCCAAGTGATTCTAATGAGAAAAGGAGTCCAAGTTAAGGGGGATTAAAAAAATAATCCTAAAGGCACAATAACAAACAATTCTAACAAGGAAAAGGGTAAAAGACAATATAATAAGCTATGTGACTTCACAAAAAACTTAGAGATGATCTGACTGGCCTGCATCCATCCACTAGGTGGCAGATCAGAACTGGGTGTGCTATGTAATGCTTAGCTAACCAGTGCCAGAATACTTGTTTTCTTAATGGTCACAGCAGGTATAGTACATACATTTACGATTCACTGTTATTACCGCAGTCTCTAGTTTTATTTTAATTTAGACTTTTAATTTCCCTCTGACCTCACTGCTTACCTTTGCTCACCTGTCTATACCCATTCATTTCTGTACTTGCCAACTTGGGATAATCATGCATCTGATGAAGCATACTTAAGTTCACTAAACAAAGGTTATTTGCTGTTTCTGCAGACTTGACTCCCATGCAAAAGTTTAATTTCCTGTTATCTCTAGTGTGCATTCGGCTGGGAATTTTTAGATAGACCTTCCAGTCAGTGCACCAAAACATTCGACATAGTCTATTAAAAAGTATATAATTATTAAATCCTGTTTATTTCAAAGTAGGTCCCATAGTTTTCAACACAGTTAACTCTCTAATTGCCTTTAGAATTTCCATATCAAACATGCAACCTTTATTAACACCTCCTTTGAAATAAATTGCAGCAATGTATTGGCTTGTGTTTTTTAAAAGACAGATACAAATATCCCACTCTTCAAAACAAAAACAATACTTTTTCAGGGGCACTTGCAAAACAGATAGTCCATCGCAATACAAGCAAATAATAACATTTCAGTACAGCATTTATAGAGGCCATTAAATGCATTAAAACTCATTACTGAAACATCACAAAAAATGAGAGGGGAGGAGCACTGCACAAAGGGGCACTGCCTTCTCCCCATTCCCACCCCCCCCCCACTCCAGAATGTACAGACACATGGAGGCGGAGCTGGAGGATTGTTTTTCCAATGGTTTCTTTTGCCGCAGTGCCACAGAAATGCCTCATTTCGACCAAACCTGGTAAAATCAGTTGGAGTGTATGTTCTAGATTTGGGAGTGAATGTATTAGAATGATAACGAAGATTTCCTATCAACCATTTTTATCACCTGCTATAAAAGCTCTGTTTCCCAACTTTTATAAATGACTGCTTGTGAATCAAAGCTGGCTTTCAGCCTAAGCCATAGACTTTAAACCTTGAAACCAGTGGAATAAAAGATGTTTTTTCCCCTTTGTGACCTTGTCTTGTGCAATTCCTTGTATCATTCACTGTTCCATAGGAAAGACTTTAGGGGAATTTCATATATACTCATTTTGATGCTTTTATCAACCTTTTGGGGGCAAAGGAGCCCCTAAATGCCAGTATTAGAACAGATGCAGCAAAATCACAAGACTGAAGGATGCCAGGAAGGGTGTAGGCAGATTCGTAGCAGCTGGAGATGTTCAATGGCATGAAAAAATGACAGAAAGGAGGTGGCAATCAGAGGCAGACCCCAGATCATTGTGTGCAGGTACATGAGAGGTGTTCTGTCAGGTATTGTGATACCAAACCGTGTAACGTTTTATTACATCAAAAGCACAATTCAGTATATATCTACTCAGAAATAAGAGTTGTTGATTTCAGAGGCCTGCTTCTAGATTAACTGGGTATAGAACTGCAACTGTAGTGGGGGGGGGATTAGTCTGTGTATTTAATTTTATTGTTTTACTGGGGACACTTACGCATGAAAGCAAAGCATCTGAGCAATTTTAACAACTGTGTCTTGTTTGTTCACTTCAGTGAATGGAATTCTGCACAGCATATCTCCTAAGGTCAGCCTTTACCTGGCATACCTACCTGGCATATGATTTATGAATTTATTTATAAAATCAATCGCATTTCAACACATTATTTTTCCCCCTTTTTCCTCCTCCTCCAAGGAGAAGAAAAGCCACCGTGGTGTTTAGTGTGGGCAAGACATAGAATCAAAATCCCACTCAGTCATGGAGGGTGGATGACGTCGGACCAGTCACTCTGTAATTGCAACAGACAAATTTATTAATATTGCCACAAGCGAGAACCAGTTCTTGGATTCAGGTCACAAACAGCAGGATGCCCCACTACCGTCAGCACCAATTTTGTATTCCTCTTTTGGGGCTTATCAGCAAACAAGGCCGAAGGCAATTTTTGACGCATGCGCCAGGCGAGCCGAGCCTTCCAGAAGTTCCCGTCGGCCCCCAGGAACGCGGGGAGCCGGTAACCAAAGCAACCGACGCCAAACGAAGGCCCAACGGATCGCGCCTCGCTTCCTCTCAACACTGATTGGAAGAGCCGGTTGCCGTTGAACACGGCGAGCTCGGCGATTGGTTCAGAAACCCGGAACAGGTTGGGTTAGTGCAATTTCCGCTTCCGGGTGTGGCGCTGATTGTGCGTGTTAGTAACGGAGCGGGAAGGCCGGAGCGTGGCTGTCCTGAAGCTCAAGAAGTAAAAGAAAGCGGTCGGCGGACTAGCCAGTCAGCGATGGGGGCCAGCGGGGAGGACGCGGCTGAGAGCGAGGAGCGCTTCGACGGCATGTTGCTAGCCATGGCCCAGCAGCACCAGGGCGGCGTGCGGGAGGTAAAATGGAGGGCAGCATATATGTCTGCAGGGAGCAGCTGGCCTTCTCTTCCGCTCCCTCTCCGCCGCTTCAGCGGCTCTGTTTCTAGCGTCTGTGCACCCTCTCTCTCCCTGCCCAGCCTAGTGGATGCTCTTCCCTGGCATGTATTCCGTTCCTTCTGAATGCCGGCCCTGGCATGCTACAGCGGGGGAGTTCTTGCGCGCCTGTCTTGCTTGTGGGTTTCCCATCTTGTGTCCTAGAGTGGCCTATGGGAAACCCACGAGGAAAACAAGAGTGCAGTAACACTCTACCGCTGTAGCTCTCCTAGGCTGTTATTTATAGAGAAGAGAAATTATACCAGGGAAGAAAGAGCTCCTGCTAGGCTAGATAGGAACACGGGTGGGGAGGTTAATAGGCTATAGCAGATCCACTTTTATATCTATATGGATTGGATAGTAAACGAGGTATACTTGAGAAACTAGAGTTGCATCTGTATGGGGCAGAAAAGAGGAGGAAAGCAACCTCAAGCAGAAAACTGATAGGGTTGGGGGCCCCACCACAGCAGGGACCCACCAATGAGTCCTCTGGATTTGTTTCTACTCTTCACAATAGCTGCCTCATTGTTCCTCTACTTAACACAAACGAGTGGTGGAAAGGAGGAGTGGCCTTCCAAAACCTGGAGCTTTCAAGGATATTTTCTTTGGCATACTCTTGAAATCAAGCAAAGAAAGGTCATGGTGAGATCTGGGTTTGGTTGTGTCAACTGACTTAAAGATACTTATATTGAAACAATATTAAAGATTCTAGCTTATTTACATATAAAAATATAACATGTGATGTATTATGGTGGCTCTTCAGCCTCACAAGCAGGCACAGAAGATTTAGATGGCCAATTTTGCAGGCTGGGGGAAGTGCAGAGGCTACTGTTGCCTCCATACTCCTGCTATCCATGATAGATGCCCATAATCCTCCAAGTTCAGAAGGTTATGGTTAGCCTTATTGGATAACACTCTCAGTTTAATAAAGCAAAGGTACCAGTTTTACCTCTTAATTTTCTTAACCTATGTTAAACAACAATATTTCCTTATAATGCTGGAGCTTATTGCCAGCTAATAAAGTTGGCTAGTGTGATTGGAACGGACAAAACAACAAAAGCTTCACAGAATACTCTTCTGCAATATTCTACCACTGTAAAATAATGGTTAGATTTGTACAACAAGCTAAGCCACCGTGTCTTAGAACCCATGGTGGTTTAGTGTGTTGTCCAAACCAAGCACCTCTTCAAGTGGCTTCTTTGTGTTGTTGAAGCAACCCTAACAAGCTATGACTGGACAGCACAACAAGCCCAATAGTAGCTGCGGAGTCTTCATAGGAACATCAGAAAGTTCCCGCTCTGGCCAGGTAGCTCTGATGACAGCCACCCAAAGTGCCCAAGCAACATTTTGAACAATGGTCATCAACTTCCATGTGGGCACCATGCAGTGAAAGCATGTTCTGCTGGTCTCCCCGGAAGGAGGTCTAGCAGAAAGTGCCCTGTTGCTGGCTGCAACAGGTGATGGGAAGAATGCGAGCTGCATTCAGTTGGGTCTACTCTTTAAGATGTGTAGAAAATGCAAGTCATCCCTCACTTTGATTGTTGCAACAGTCACTCATCAGCTAACACTGAGTGAGGGGGGCACATTCTGTTAGGCCTCCTCTGGAGGAAAGTCAGCAGAATGCACCATGTTCCTGCCCAGCCTGGCAGATATCACACTGAGCAGGGGCAGGATAAGCTGTCTGAGACCTCTGCAATACCAGCTGTTCAAGGCCCAAATGGGGTTTCAGGGATTAGTGTGTGGCAGATAGCAGCAATGTTGTCCCATGATAAACAGGGATGGGTCACATTATGCTTTACCCTCTAAAGAGAGGGCTGAGCACAATATATTCCCAACAGCAGCTGTTCAGCAGCTGTGGTAGCAGGCAGAACAGGGGATGAGCCATGTTCTGCTGAGTCTCTTAAGGGGAAAGATGAACATGACTTATCTAGCCACTGCTGGTCCTGACAGTAAGGAGTTGTCAAGATCACCCTCTCTCTGCCAAGATCAGTGGGGTGCGTTTTGACAACTGCCTCCAACTGCTGCTTGGGCAGTTTTGAGCAGCTGTCATCCCCACTCCTTGGTGCTCCTTCATTGTCCTCTGGGATACCACAGGGAGACCTGAGTGGGGAGAAGGTGCCACCTGGGCTTGAAAGTGCCATGCAAACCTACCTCATGGGTTACAAGCCTAAATATTTTAAAGTATTAGGCAAATCCTTGGCAACCTAGCTTAGCTCTTATAAACTCAAGGTTATGGCTTTCTTTATAGAATCAAGCTGCCTCGTACGTGGTCTTACTTCTGCTTTCAACTTTCTCTAGTATTACTGTCTATCATACTAACCATTCCCTCTTAGAGCTTCATTTTCCATACCATGAAACCTGATTCGAGTGCAAAAGATTGTAAGAAATTGTTTAGAAATCTTTGCCCTGCACTTCAAACACTGTAGAAAAAGATCTGATAAGAGAGTGCCCTCTGAGAAGCCTTTGAATCTTAATCAGTATAAGGCATCCTTGTGCTGAGAACTAATTCAGCGGCAGTTTTGGACAGTTTTTTTGGCTACACCAGACATGAGCAATTTGGAACTGTCCAAAGGTCACTGTCTGCCCCGACACAAGGAAAAGCCAAATTTTGCATGTAGAGTGTGTACTTTATTTTGGCGCAAACTGATGTTCCCAAATCCAGGAGGGGGCATGTTTTTGTGCTAAAGCAAGGTGTGTGTGTATGTTCCCTGTACCTTGTTTCAGAGCAAAACCGTGCCCACACTTTATTTCCAGCACCAAAATTTAAAAATTTTACAACATGACAGCCTTTTTGGAGTGACAGGCCATGTGTTGCTCAGCCTGGCTTAATTTGGATGAAGGGCAGAATAGGAAGAGTGCTACAGCATGGCAGTAAGAATATTTGCACAAGTCAGGTTCCCAGTTCTGTCTCTGGCATCCCCACCCTGAAGAATCTGTGATGCCAGGACTTCAAAACAGAGGCCTGCTCTTAGAGTGGGAAAAGCATGGGTGGATAAGCTCCTGGTGGTGTTTTGTGTGAAATAGAAAATGAAGCTCTTGATACCTTAATGCATTATGTCTAGAGTTTTTTTTGAAACTATAAAAACCAGCATAGACTCTGGAGACTGCAATAGGTTCTTTCTTCCATTCACTTCATCCTTATTATATGTGCAAGAATGAAATCATTTTCCTGTTCCATATACTGTAGTGGTTTATGTTTATGTACCTCTCAGTCCTCTCTTTCATAGTCACCTGGACCAAATCTCTGATCTACTAAAGGGCTGCTTTAATGCCTACTTAAACTCTTGTCCTCCATTGAAATGGCCTTAGTGGAAGTAGCTGGTGTGTCAACATGACCAAGTTAAAAACTATTATTCAAGGAGAAAGTCCATCATGAATGGACATAGCTAAAGGGTTTAAACCTCGTATTAAACTTCTGATTTCTGAAGGCTGTAAGAAACCATGAATGAAACACATACTTTGTACCTGATATAGTTTCTCATCAAATATTTTAATGGGGTAGAGTGACCATTGGTCTTACCAGTATGGCAGCTTCATTGACAACATTCCATCTGCCTCTGATCCTTTTATGTGAAGTATAAGTAAGTTGCAGAAAAGAAAGGCTACCAGAGAGGCTCATCTATAAATTTAGTCACTTGTAAAAGGCACTCCCTTTTTTAAAGTGAGTGTAGGGTACCTGTGAACACTTTTAATCCTTGAAAACATCTTGTCTCTTTCATTACAGCTTGTGAACACCTTTTTCAGCTTTTTGAGACGCAAAACTGATTTCTTTGTAGGAGGAGAAGAGGGTGCTGCTGAAAAGGTACGTGATTCCTCATTATTTGGCCTAGGGTGAGATGATTCCTCACTGTGGCAATCTCAGCCGTTTCCCACAGTATCACGTTGTGGTTCAAATATACCCTGAAGTTTCCCTTGATTTTGCTGTAATGAAATGATACTGCATTGTGCAGCTAAACCCAGAAACCACCAAAAGAGACTAGTTTAAGTAGTACCTGATCTTGTCCGATTGCATTTGCTTCTATTCATCGTAATAGTCTGATGAGAGAGGATTCTTTGTTTGGGGTTTTTTTTTTTTGCAGATTATGCTTTGTCCAAAGGCTAGTTTGAAAAGCTAGAATGCTGGCAGACATTAAAGGATCAATACTTCCAAATTGCTTTGTTTGTTCACTCCTAGAAAGGCACTAAGTCCACTTTTATGGTGATGGCTTTGTCCGCAAATAGCAGAGTTTGCTTAACACAGATGGGAGCAGCAGTGCAAGGTGTCCTTCTACCTGAGGCAGGACATGTGCTCCCCTCCTCCACCAGACAAGAGATTGGGCAAGCAATCTCTTGAGGTCCACCCAGATTTGAATGCCATATTTGAGGAGCCCTGTACCCCCGGATGTTTTGGCCTGCTATTCCCATCTTCATTTCTATATCACCCCACAGCTGAAGCTCTCTGGACCATTTTACAGTCCATAAAAGAGACAATACAATACAATAAAAATAATACAAAAACATTAAAAAGTTTAAAACAAACAGTAACAAAAAATGACTCCATAATGCCCCTGGAATGGATAATTCACTCAAGTCCCTGGGTATCCAAGAAGGTCTTTAAAGGCCTCAGCACAAAAGACCTTCTTGATCTGCTGCCAGGAAGGCTGCTTGTGCCAAAGGCAGGGGACCACCTCAGAGAAAACCCTCCCCCTTGTTGCCACGCTTTATTGGAGCTGGCATGTGGAGGAAGGTTGAGCACAGTGTCTAAGTAGATCACAGCTGGGAGAAGCATCCCCACAGGTGTTGCAGTCCTAAGGGGCAGGTATTGCCTTACCACTGACTGCTCACTAAGGCCGATCGTTGAAGGTCAAAGCATCTGAGGCGCCATGTTGCTCTGCATGCCCCAATCTAAATGTTTGAGGGACTTCAAAATTCATTTTTCCCCTGACCAAACCCTGGACAGTGGAGGAAACCAGTGCAAACCATTCCATGCCACCGAGAGATATGAAGCACTGTAGTGCATAGGTTCCTTTTCTGTTTAAGTGGGTAAAATGAATTTTTGTTTCTTTGTTTTTAGTGGAAACAGGCTTAGGGGTCTGGTAAGCCCTTGAGATTTGTGCTGTAAAGTCAGATTCCATATTTTCTTTCTTTCTTTCTCAACATGGATACCTAAACCATCCAACCGCTATTTAAATATTATTTTTCTTTTTAAAAATCGTGGACAGTAGACGAGGTCACCATGCTTTTTATTCAGTAGCTACAAGTCTCCAACATGTCACTGTCCAAAGGGCATAGTGGATCATATGCTACCGATTTCAGTGCCTCTGCTCATGGCCCGTGGCTGCTGCGAAGGTCACCCAGCAGTGGGAACTCTTGACATCCAGCCAATTATGTGATCAGATGACTGCGTCACCTTTTGGAGCAAACATGCTGGAGCCCTGACCCTCAGTCCCTTTCTTTTAAAATGTGGCCAAAGGTAGTCTTGTTCGTTCCCACTCTGAACTCTTGGAACAGGGACAGTTAAATCATTTCAGATAACTAGTATTAATTTCCAGAACTGTAATGCTTCTTCTTGGAATCCTGATTGGGAGAAACAAAGACTCCCCCCCCCCACTCAGTCAGTGTGAATCTTTGAACTAATAATGCCCCTCGTTGTGGATAATATCTTGGGAGATGGTGGAACTTAGAAACAATGTAAAATTTCCATGTAGAGAATCTGATTCCTCCCATCATGAAATAGATCAAAACTAAAAGGGGGTTGGTATAGGGAGAATAATGCTGAATGGTGTTTTCCTTTTGGAAAAAATCAACTTTCAGTTTGCTGCTGCTTATGAAACAGAGCAAAAATAATGCTGTTTTAACTACTGTCCTGCTTCATTAGTTTAGTCACAGAGCTTATTCCCTCTTTCCCCCCAGTTAATCACAGAGACATTCAGCCGCCACAACAAACTGGCTCAGAAAGCACAAAAAGAAAAGAGGGCCCGTCAAGAAGCAGAGCAGCGGGAAAAAGCTGAACGTGCTGCTAAACTTGCCAAAGAAGCAAAGCAGGAAGAAAGCGAGCCGAGAATTAAGGAGTTGACTGATGAAGAGGCAGAAAGGTTGCAGCTGGAAATTGACCAGGTGTGCATTGTGCTCATTATTTCTGGGACAGAGGTGAAGTGGCGCTTCCACTGTAGTGGAGGAAGGAGCACTGCGTCTGTGACTAGCTGGGCATGATTGGTAGGAAGTTCAATTGCTGGCTACATTTCAAGAACCATGAAACCTTCAACCCCCCATGAAGTAATTCTCATAGTATCTTGAAGTATCGCTTTTCTGTTTATGTATTTTAGGCTATCATTTCTTGACTGTCATACTCAGTTTGTATCTGAAAATCCCCCAACTTTGGCATTCAGTGCAGCTGATTCATTGCTACCACTTTTACTGAAAAGGGCAAGGAGTGTGGGGGTTCCTCTGTTATTAGTAAATAACACTTCAGATGTTTTTATATATCTGAACTAAAACTGGGAGTGGGGCACTTTATCTTAACAGAAAAAAGAGAAGAAAGAAGATGAGGCCCAGGATGTCCCCGTCCATTCTGCTGCGAATCTAGTGGAGCCCCCAGAGCTGAGCAAGCAGGTAATGTGTTCTTGCGGCTTTTGCACCTTTGCAGGGGGTTTGGTTCCTACAACTTGCTCTGCTTCAAGGTGGTTGCTGGGGACTGGCAGCAAGCAATGCACGTAACAGGGCAGCTAGAGAACATCGACATTGACTTTGCATTGCAGAGTCCCTGCAGCCGACTCTGAGGTTTGAGAACTCTTCAAAATCAAAGCAGGATTGTCTTCCACCGGTGGAACACATGACTCACCAGTTGTTCAGATGGCACCTGGCTTTTTTGAACTGCTAAAAGTTGAAGGTACTTTGAAGGCTTTTCACATACGCTTTGTGTCTATTTAGGATACAGATGAGGAAGAAGAAGATGAGAAGGACAAAGGCAAGCTTAAACCAAATTCTGGGAATGGGGCCGACCTTCCAAACTACAGATGGACACAAACTCTCTCTGAACTAGATGTAAGTAAAGTTTTTGAGAAGAACCCGATGGAAGTGGATTGTACACCTACAGAAGTGGATTGTATATGCTTTTACTGGCCAGGCTACATAAGTGAAATATTAAATGAGGAGTCATAGGAAGCAGAGCCTGTCTTGATAAGTGGAGAAAGCAGAAGGCAGGTCAATGTGAGTGGGAATCAGTCTGATTTAATAACTGCTTCAGATGACCTCAGTCTTGCCCACAGAAAGGAACTACTGAATATCAAATTCACATCTATGGAGAAATAGATTACCAGAATAGCCATTTGTACATCATCTATACTGACTTGTCTCTGTGAAAATTCATAGACGACTCCCTCTGTTGTCCTGCTTCTCCTGTCTAGCTGGCAGTCCCATTCAAAGTGAACTTCAAACTGAAGGGGAAGGATATGCAGGTTGACATCCAGAGACGGCATCTGAAGGTGGGACTGAAAGGCCATCCTCCTGTGATTGATGCAGCCTTGTACAATGAGGTGAAGGTGGAGGAGAGCTCGTGGCTAATAGAAGATGGGAAAATTGTCACCGTACACTTGGAGAAGGTAACCGCACCGGATTCAGCACTATGGTTTTGCTAGAGTCCTTGGTTGTGCTGCTTGCAGCTCATCTTGTGTGATACCTGGCCGCCCAATTGCCTTTCCAGTGCAATATTAACTGAGCCTCTGAGTCAAATGGGCCTCCGCAAGATGAGCCACAAAAAATGTGACCTGACATTTGCTAACAAGGACCAAATCCCTAATGTAGGAGTGTGTGCTAGAATGCTCTAGATGTAAAATGTCCTGAGCTGAATTTTGTTGTCTTTTTCTGTTTAGATCAACAAGATGGAATGGTGGAGCAAATTAGTTCAAACAGACCCGGAGATTAACACCAAGAAAATTAACCCAGAAAACTCAAAAGTGAGTGGGTTTTTCTTTTTGAATCAAAATTTGACAGTAGTCTTGGCAACCTATTGTACAAATTTGGGAACTCTACCCCTAGAGCAGGAGTGGGCAAGTTGTAGTCCAGATGTTTGGCCTCCAGCTCCCATAATTTCTTACCATAGGCTGTGCTGGCTAGGGCTGATTGGAGCAGCATGCCCACAACATCTGGAGGGGCAGAAAGTGCCCACCCCTATTCTAGTAATCTTTGGCACTGCTTGGTTGAGGCAAAGTGCCTTATTTAGAAGGTGTGTATACTTCAGCCTAAAGAGAGACTTTCCTCTTTCATAAGCTGCAGTTAATGGGAAAGAGTTGTTTCCATCAAAGCCTGCACAGGTTCTAGGTACACATCCTGACGCCCTTGCTCACAGTAGAAGCTGCCGCCATGTGGGCAGCTGCCAAAATAAAAGCATGGGAAAGGCTAGGTGCAGGAAGTGGCCTCAGAGGTCTGGCACTGGTGAAGCTACATGTGGTTTGCTCCCGATGCTAGTCCTTTGAGGGGATCTTTGAAAGTAACTTCCCTGGTGTGCATCATATGGTCAAGCCTGCAACCTCCCAGCTAGGATAGTGGTTGGCCAGTGTTGGCTGGTAACTACAGGAGCTGCAGTTCTTCCCATCTGGAGGGCACCTGTTTGGGGAAGGCTACTTTATAAGGTGGGGCCCCCGGAGGGACATATGCATTTGTTAAATACGTACTTTCTCTATTAATATGAGAGAGCCAGTGTGGCATAGTGGTTAAGAGCATGGGACTGGGACTCAGGCGATCCGGGTTCTAGTCCCCACTCGGCCATGGAGCCAGCTGGGTGACTTTGGGCCAGTCACAGACTCTCAGCCCAACCTACTTCACAGGGTTGTTGTTGTGGGGATAAAATGGAGGAGGAGAATGATGTAAGCTGCCTTGAGCCCTTTTTAGGAAAAAGGCAGGATATAAATTGAAAAACAAACAAACAAATATCTCTTTCCATTTCCAAGTTATCAGATTTGGACAGTGAAACGCGCAGCATGGTGGAGAAAATGATGTATGATCAACGGCAGAAATCAATGGGGCTTCCGACATCTGATGAGCAGAAGAAGCAGGACATACTGAAAAAGTGAGTTGAGCTTGTTTCTGTGCCTGCTAGAATGTATGAAGGAAAGGACTGATGGGTCTTTCTCCAAGTTAGCACAAAGTTACCTCTTGTTGGCCAGTGAACGCAAGAAGCCGATGACGTAAAGGTCCAGCTCAGCTCCAGGTCCAGTAACCGGGGTGCTGTGAGCACCATTGGCCTGGCAGTGCCATCTCTGCTTGAACTATGATGTGGTGTGTCTGCCTCTAATCTCCGTATGGCTCAGAGCCTGATAACATAATTTTTTGCTTTCCGCCCCCAGTCTCAAACTGTTATACTTTTAATGACTTTATTGCCCTGCTTGGCAAAGAAATGCTCAGGAGCTTCTGTGAGTAATTTCCCTGCTGAGGCCATGCAGGGTGACGCTCCCTCCTCCCTGGCTGGAAACCGGGTTACTAAAGGGCACACAGCTAGCTGCCCTTCAGCTGTCCTGAACACTTTCTGTGTGGGCAGGAAAAATGGCTATTATGGAAGGCAGGAGGGGCTGCAGGCTGAAGCATCCACCTCCCATTTCTGTGTCTAATCTCCACAGACATTAATGCTTTGCAGGCAAGGCCAGTGTCAGCTACATACCTGTAGTAACTGATTCAACCCTGTGATGCTTTAAAGAAAAGTCTTTGCTCTGATGCACGATGTTTCAGCACTGTTCTCAGATACATGTGGTCATAAGCAGTGTCTCTTCTGCCTCTACCAAGAATCCCCTTTCTGCTTTACTGCTGTCACTGGAGGATGATTTTAGTTAATAGTTCAGCTATTTCATTTCAGCTCATCAAACATCCTTGGGCAAGTGCCAGCCAGTCCCAGTTATATACATTTAATTTGTCAGTTAGCTCTAAAATGTTACCCTTTGTCCCTTTTATTGGACACAGTTCTTCAGGTGCACTGCCAGGCAGCCCACTCCCCCCCCCCCCAGCAGCAGCCTGTGCGCAGTTCTCCATTTAGTGCCAACCCAAGTTGACTTGCCTGTGATGGAGTGAATAGGTGAAGCCCATTCAGAGCCAGATCGTCTTCGGCCACGCCAGTTCTGTGCTGTGGCCCACCTCTCCGAGCAGCTCAGTTACCTGTCCATTTTGCCACACTATTCTTATGTTTTTATCTTGTGAAGTAGGTTTGAGGCAAAACTTTCAATCCCATTCCATAAAAAAGGAACTATTTAGGGACCTAAGAGGTGACAATGGATTTAGTGCCACAGTCATCGGTCGAGGGCACTCAGCTTGTCTAGTTCTTATGTTTAAAACGCTCTAATCCACCTTTTCCTTCTATTCCTTATATTTTTTGCTGCTCCCACTTTTGCTTTTTGTTTTTATGTGCTGACATCTTTGTATTCATTTCTCTCATTTGTGAGAAATGGTCACACAGGAAAAACAAGGTAAGGCTTCCAAACCACGCTGAAGTGCTGCATACATGATACGATACTATGAAATGGCAACCCTCACAAGGTTTTGCTGGCAAGAACAAATCTACCGAAACCTCCAAGCAAGTGAGGTGCAGCACGTCTGACCTGCAGCTAATAGTTCTTAAGGGTACATTTATAGTAGATCTTAGTGGGGCAGTCTTACTGATATTACCAATGAGAAGTTGATATGGCATCATAGACTGCAAAGCCACAAGGATAGCAGGGGAAAACGTGCCCTTACGAACTTTGAGGAGGGCGGTCATTCTGCACTACTTTAAATACATGGGTGGCCACCAGCTGCATTGTGGGGGCTGCTTTAGTTCCCAGATTGTGGTCCAGGGGCCAGCCATGTTGCCTGATGAACTTGACCCCCTCGTAGATGGCCGTATGGTAGAATACGACTGCTGATTTCTAGCTGTAAAGATACCACAGTTATGGAGTATATTGTCTCAGACACAATATCATATAGAACAATAAAAAGATGTAACATTACAGCATGGAATCTCTACCCTTCCAATTTAATTTTTTTGGTAGGGTCACTACAGGCCAGATGAAATCGTTTCATTGGCTAAATTCAGATACCATCTCAGATCTATAGAATGTACTTTTTATAGCAATTCTGTTTCTTTGGAGGTTTGTTTCTTATTTTAGATATTTCTACTGTGCTGTACCAAAAAAACATTCCCAGCGTGGCTCACAAAACTTTAAAAATTAAAACTTCAACCAGTTAAAACACTATGAAACAAACAATAAGATTTGCATAGGCTTGTTAGTATTCTTTCTAGCTCATTCCACTAATACGCGTTTCTCTTTCTCACAGATTCATGGAACAGCATCCAGAAATGGATTTCTCCAAGGCAAAGTTCAATTGATACTGTTGTCCTCTTCTTTTCCCCCCATCCACCACTGGTGTAACTTACAAAGTTTTACAGAAATGACCAGGCAGGACAGTATATACCTTTCTCCCTGCCTTGAGGTAGCATAAGCATTTGCAGCATACCAGGGTGAGCTTTCTGTGTAAAAAGCCATGGTGGTTAAACCAACATTCAGTTTAGGTTCCTGGATTTTCAGCAACAGTATCAGTCAGCTGAAACCTGGATTTTATCTTTGTGTAGGGCAACATATTTCAGGGGGAGGTAGGAGTAAAGGAAAACAGAAATTCATGATGAAAATAATCCATTCCCTTGGGTCTCCCTTAGTCTAACAGATGTAGGAAACGAATGTTTAAATTTACATTTTTAAGGAACTGGAAAGACAACCTTGATCACTCTTACTTCAATTCCTGCTCTCAAACTGAGCACTGGAATTTGTCCCTTAAATTGTCCCATTATCACTCCTGCTGACATTCTTACTTCAAATCTGGCAAGTCCCCGCAGAATGCTAACTTGGTGGAGCAATTCTGAAAGCAGTTCCAGACATAAGAAATGCCAGTCCATTCATCCATGAGTGCCTTGTGCTGGTTGCACATGCACTGAAATCTTCAAAGAACCACCCATGATGTGCACTTAGCTTGTGCAGGTTCCTATTTGAAAGTTACAGTAAAAGCACGGAAAGCACCGACAGGAAGAACCCCTGTGTCTGCTTGTTGGTACTTTTATATCCTCCTGTTGCTCTGACATGCTAAGTTATATGTCAGGTATATGCTAAGAATGTCAGGTATATGCTTGGAGGCCATGGAGCTAGACTACTGTGGTCATGTGTTTAAGATTTGGGGCAGCTCGTAAAGATACTGTTTTTTCCTAGGCCAGTGCAGTAAGCCACTGGTTTCTGGCATATCAGTTCTGTTTTCATTACAGCAAATGGATCTGTTCATAACTTTTTCTGCCAGGCGCTGTTGTAACCATCTCAGAACTATGATAGCATGGATCTGCTCCAGACACTAGAGGTTCTGGTTTCAATGCTGGTGTTTTGGCCTTACAAAACCAACCTTTAGGAATAGAGAGGGGCTTTAAAAGACTGAATACTTTGAGGAAGTTGGCTTAAACTCTCTATTCTTGCTGTACCTAAAATAAATCGATGTGAACTGTGCTGGCATCTTACTGTATTATACTGAGAGTAAGCAAGGTCTACAGGGAGCAGGTTGGATGGGAGGCAGGTTTCCAGCTTGCCAACTACCCATCTTGCTATTCCCCCATCTGCTGGAAAGGGAGAACAAGAACCTTCTGCATGTTTTTTTTTGTGGCTTAGAAATATCTTGTGCTCTGCATGTACCATTAAAAAGGAGATGATTTCATATGTGGCCACTGTATGTTCTGGTTTTCCTATGTACAAAATAGTCACCTAGGAGCCACCGTGAAGTAACCAGTGGTTCCAGATAAACTGTACTGTACACTCACTGCGCAATTAAAGTGTTTGACACGAAAGAGTCATGACAAGAAAAGGGGTGTCTTCCACCATTCCAAACGACCTTCAGCAAAATCTATATTAAGCATTCAGGAGGAGGAGAATTTGCAGCCTGGGAGCTGACCCTTTTCAACAAGCTTCACATGATGCTGGCTCCCCCCCCCCCCCCCACTAGACAGGGTAACCCTCCACCCTGCTTTTTTCCCCCCTCAGCTCACTGCAGGATGCTGACCCATTTCCATTTTATGGCCATTCCCTGGCTGCTGGACTTTCAGCCTTGGGACAGTATTGTAACATACCTCTGTATGATTGTATGTTTTGTCATCTTCAGCACCTTGGAAAGGCTATGATTGTGCACTGCCCCTTGTCATCTCCCAACAAATTTCTTCCTGTTGCTTTCCTATACGAATGTCTTGCAAGTCTCATGATCCTACCTTCTGATATTGAGCCGCAAGGTCTGGTATGATCTCCCATGGAACCAGCCACTCAGGCGGGAGGAAAGGTATAGGTGCTTTCAACTTTGAAAATAGGTGTTCGCAAATACAGACATTGGGAGATGAGAGCTGGGCAAAGGAGATCAAGCAGTTTCACAGCTGCCTGTGTTAATGTAGAGCTGGTACTGCTTAAGAGAGCCAGTGTGGCGTAGTGGTTAAGAGCATGGGACTGGGACTCAGACGATCTGGGTTCGAGTCCCCGCTCAGCCATGGAGCCAACTGGGTGACTTTGGGCCAGTCACAGACTCTCAGCCCAACCTACCTCACAGGGTTGTTGGGGGGATAAGATGGAGGAGGAGAATGATGTAAGCTGCCTTGAGCCCTTTGTAGGAAAAGCAGGATATAAATCGGGGGGGGGGGGGAGTATATTGCAGCAATACCACAAGTCTGCAAAGATTTCTCTTTCATAGGGGAAAATAGTAGACTTGGCTTCTCAGGTGCCCTTTGTAGTGAACTTATTGGCACCCCACACCGCCCCTCTTTGTTATCAGCAAGGAGCAACTGTTGTGAGTTAAACAACCTGTCAGTAAATTAACTTCCAGGTTGCTTGTTTCAAGGCTAGAACTTTATGAGCTGCTTTGCCACCAGGCTGGCGTTGCAGGGCTGTTATCAGTGGGTGTCTGTGCGCGTGTGAACTCATTGGCAGTGACCCCTGTGATGTTCTGAAACCTGATTGCACACCTGAAGCCTTGGTGCCATGGTACAGGCTGGGTTAATGACTTTGTTTATACTGATAAGGGCAATCCAGATAAGGCAGCCTCTCAGTCCTGAGTCTCCTGTCTCTGGCTGGCACCTTCATTGAGAAAACCTTTCTCTGTGCTACGTGGAAATTCCGCTTCTCCTCGGCCAATCAGTTTCGGGCTGACTTGTTTTTCAATGAACTGCTGCTGCTCATCCAAGAGAGTTCAAGGCTACTGGAAGGGGTGGCTTGTTTCACCCCTTCCAGGGACCTTATAAGTGCAGCTGAGAAGAAGCAGCCACAGGACGGACAGAGGCTGTGAGGTGACAGGAAAGTTCCTGTAGCAGCAAGTACTGGAAGCTTGTGCAAGGACCAGGTGTGCTCAGCTCTACAGCTGCGTGAAAAGCACTTTCTGTGAAGTGGCCCAGTAAGCTGTACTCCAGCATGGACATGGAATATGAGAAGTGCCCATGCCATCACGAAGAGAACCAAAATGCCATCCTGTACACCCTCCTGAGCCAGAACTTGACCCACCACAGCGGTGGATGCAGCCCGTCCCAGCAGCGCTGCTTCTGCCACAAACGGCACACCGTCTGCCTGCAGACCCCCCAGGTCACCTGCCAGGCAGCCTCTGATGTCTTGGTGAAGACCATCAGCTTCATGAAGAACCTTCCTTCCTTCCAGCTACTGCCCTGGGAAGACCAGCTGCTATTGCTGGATAGCTGCTGGGCTCCCCTTTTCCTCCTGGGCCTGGTCCAAGAGATGGTGACATTTGAGGTGATGGAGACTCCAGCTCCAAGCATGCTGGAGAGAATCCTCCTCCACGGACAGTGCAAGAGGCAGGAGCTGCAGAGGGCGCGGCCAACCCTGGCCAGCGTACAGCGCCTCCAGTGCTGCTTGAACTCTTTCTGGAGCCTGGACCTGAGCCCCAAGGAGTATGCCTACCTGAAGGGTGCAATTCTCTTCAACCCTGGTAAGTGTGGCCAGACTCCTGCATTCCAAGGAAGCCCACGTGAGCAGCAGACATTGCTTACACACTAGGAAGAAGAAAGGGCTGCCCTATCGCATGTCGGGTGAGCGTGATGCTGAGAGAGGAGCAAAATATTGGACAGCCCTCTGAGTGGGATGGTGTAAATGGGTGTCCTGCAACAGCAGGGGGTTGGACCTGATGGCCTTCATGGCCCCTTCCAACTCTACTATTGTGATTCAAACGGAACAAAAATACCAGAGCTCAGTGAGTGAAGTGCGCTTAGTCTTTTGGCTACCTCATAAGATCCAACCATTACCCAGGGTCTGTTCTGGACGCTTGATTCTTCTGCTGCTCTTGGTATCAGCATCTCCATCTCCACCATCCATACAGTTCCCAGATATCTTCCTCTGAGCTGCTTCAAGGGCCAGATTTTCATATTCAGTGACTTCTGCAAATAAGGCTGAGTCCGACCAATCTTACCAATCTTTTATAGCTCCTTCCTGCAACTAGCATTCTTTCCAGAACCTCTCTGGCCTCTACTAGTGTTAGGTCCTGGGGTAGGCGAGGTTGCAATTAATCCAGGTCAAGCAATGCAGAAATGACTATGACACTGGCATTTAAATGAGTTATCTGAATGCCAAATCTGAGTCCAATCTGTAAGCAACGGTGAGGAAGGAGCAGTCAGATAAGGTTCAGCTAGGACATTTTGGGGCAATGAACAGAACAAAATAATCTGGTCCTGCAGCTCATTAAATAAATAAACAGAGAATCAAATAACTGGCTGTTTGCTCTTAATGATGCCTGAATTTTGTTAACTGAAACAGGGCTGGTCAGAACCAGGACAGACAATGGGAATCGTAGAGTTAGGGAGTGTTAATTTACAACCTCTTTTAATGTCCCACCTTGCTCCCGGCAGTTGAAGAGAAAAATAGCAAGAAAGAGTCAATGAGCTCTTTCTCTCCTCCTTTTCTCAGTCTGAAGCTACTCAGTTGGTGCTTTATCTGATAAAAGAAAGTCCTGGGAAGATTTGAGATTCAGGGAATGATGCATCTTACGTATATCTCATAAAATTCACTCAATATTATGTTTACTCAAATCTATACATTCCTGAGTTAAATTTAATTCAGTCTCTGCTTTTTTTTTAACTGCTCCTCCTCCAGCTGGCTCAGAACTGGCACATGTGACCCCTTCCCTCTCATGCTACTTTCACAACAACCTTGTGAGGTAGATTAGTCCAAGAAATCAAAATGAGAGCGTCATGGCTGAGTGGGCATTCGGTGTTGCTTTCCCCAACCCTAATCCATTCAGCCTTTCCCAGTCTGATGCCCTCCAGTGTTTTGGGCTTAGCCCAGCTAGAATGGCAAATGGCTGGGGATGATGGGAGTCCCTCATCCAATACATCTGGAAGACACCAAGTTGGAAGAGACTGCTTTAACCATTACACTGCAGTCCCATGCATGTCCATAAAGGAGGAAATCCCCCATCATGTCAATGCTTTCCTTTTGCATAACTAGAAGGAAGATTTCAGGGTATTTCTTTTGCTGTACTTTAATCTCCTTGCAGTATTGATGAAGTTTATCCTGTCGCACACATTTTATTACATGGCAGTTGGGGATGGGGGGGTGTCCTGAAGCAATTAAGCCGACATTGTTAATCTAACTTCTAACAGTGATTAGATGACTTGGACATTTTATATTTTGGTAAATAACCGAAATCATATTCTGGATCTACAAAAGCTTCTGCTATAATGAATCGGTTCTCCTTTAAGGGTTTGCAAGTTAGTGTAGTTTTAGGTATTAGGCGGAGGGTTTTGTCGCTGGAAATGCTGTGAGAATAAGACTGGAGTTGCATTTTTGCTGGTCCATGATGTGATATATTTTCAAGCTCTTAATTCAGTTGAGTCTACTTGGTTCCTCTTGCGTAGTTTTGTTGGCTTTTCAGGATTTTGGTGTTCAGATCAGTTGATGCTTTCATGAGATCTAACAGGAATTTTGTTCCCTCTCTCTCGCTCCCCCAGACGTGCCTGGCCTAAAAGCTTCCGCTTACATAGAGAGCCTCCAGCGAGAAGCACAGAGAGCACTCCAAGAAGTCCTCATGCTGCTCCACCTGGAGGACCAAGGCCGCTTTGCCCACGTCCTGCTCATCTCCTCCTCCCTGAAATCCATCCCTCCTGCCCTCATAAGCGACCTCTTCTTCCAGCCGGTCATTGGCAACACTGACATTTTTGAGCTGCTTTCCGAAATGCTACTCATGAAGTAGCTCCTTCGGCCACGACATCCTCAGGTGAGGCCGGCTTCAGCTTTGTGCTACATGCTGAGAGGCGGCCCAGCACACCTGGATAATGCAGCGGAAGAGGGCACACGGCCTCCCAATTATACCTTTTCAGACAGAAAGGCAGCTGACTGCAGACACTTCCTTGCATGGAGCTCAAAACACTCAAAAGCCATATGCAGTGCTGCTGTAACAACCACGACGGGGCACTTAGAGCGGGTGCCAACGGTTAGGGGGGAGGAGTATCTTCTTCAGCAAATGCTTCAGCATTGCAAGCCACGTCCAGTCCATGCAGGGCCTTGGCAACATCTGTGATCACCATCTGTGAAGCGGGCAGTGGTGCAGCACGGGCAAGGTGCTCCCATTAGATCACAGAGGCCAAACTCCCTTGTGGCTGCCCCAAACCTTGCAAACCAAGAGGGTTGCATGCATCCAGTCAACTGTGGGAGGCGTTCCCACCCCCCGCAAAAACATTTAGATGGCCAAAACCGTTTTCCTCTTCTTGTGAGGAGGGAGTGTCGAGGCACCAGTTGGATTTGGCAGAAGACTGTCTTCCATTTTCCAAGGTCACAGTGGGGACTCCACATTTTCTTATAGCCAGCCAGACAACATCTGCCAACCGTAGCATTGCGCCTGAAGTCCCAGGTCTAAAATTATCTTGCTGCACCACTGGAAATAGGGGCAATGGCTACACTGTTCCTGTTCAAAACCACCTGCCTTACACACACTATTACATAGATATGTATGGGCTTTTATTCCATGGCTTACCCCAACCCCAAGAACCCTGGGAGTTCTGCCTTATGGGTCGCTGAACACTCTGCCAAGAGAAGCCCATGTAGAACCACAGCCTGCATGATTTAGCTTGCTTTCTTTAAAAAAGAAAAAAGTTTAAGACAGATCTGCTGAACCATGGAATTTGTACAAAAAACAGTCCTGCATGTTCCTTTCATTGCATTCAGTTCCGGGTGCAAATACTGCGACCCTTACCTGAGTCATTGGAAACAAGTTCTCAGAAATGTTTGAGCTGGCATCAAGTTCTGGGTGTTATTATTTTGTGCCTAAGACACTTAAGTCCCAGCTTGCTTGGGAGTATTTTTTTCTAATGCTGCAGGCTGACTGGAGAGGACAAAAAGATCCCTTGAGCAAACATGCAGCAGCAAAGAGCCTGCTGAAGGTTACCTGAGTTGCTCCCCTTATTCACACAGAATTATAATACTCCAAGGCAACGATACAGAAGAAAGCAAGACTTTTCCTCATATGACCCCTGTTCACTGTAATTGCTACGATACAGGGAGGGGTCTAGCTTGAGTTTGGAATTTTATCAATATTTAGTCTATGCTTCTTAATGACATTCAATACAGCTTAGGACAGAAGCCATAATTCTGCCTAACCATGATTCATTCTTACAATCTTCCATGGCCGGGTCTCTGACTGCTCCAGACCTGTCGTCATGTTCATTTCCCCTGGGGTGACTGCCCTTCTCTCCTATTTGTAGTGCTGTTATATGCTGGGTTGTACCACCTTTGCACAGATTTCTCATATCAGTATTTTGTGACTGGGTGCTTCCTTGTGATTTGTATGCTAAGTTATTATTTTTAAAAAAACAACAAATAAAAACATTTTTGCAGTTCAGACCTTGACTGCTGGTATTTATGATGACCAAAAGGAATTAGTCAATACTTTCACATGGAGATAGACAAACTAGAATGTGTTCAAAGGTATATGGAAAGCCAAGTCTTATGAAGCAAGGATTCATGCCCAAAGTTTGATTATAAACACAGAATACTAAATTCCATTCTTTCCCCGTAATAATAAGCTGATTTACCACTTCCATGGTATATACTTTCCAACTGTATCAAGGATGTCATTCCATAAGCTGTTCCCATTGTTAAATAGATTACTCCTAGAGTCCCTTAGAAATTAATTTAGCAATCTTATGTGTATGTATTGTATTCTCAAATGCTGAGTAATTTGGAGGATCTAGATTGGGGTGATGTACTGAAAAACTGCACAGATCCCTAACCTGTAAGCTGTGTGTTTTGTAAGCAGAAAGCATCTTTGTGAAAAGATGAAACTCTGTCCCCTTTTAGTAGGATCGACTTGTCACCGGAGATGCACAAAAGGGATGCTTAGGTTCCTTGCTTCCTACCTAATCACCCTAAGTAGTTCTTTTTTCACATTATATAAAGGAAACGGGCAGTTCCAATTAACTCAGGGTGGGCAACTTGTGGTCCGCCAAAAGTTTTGCTCTGCATCTCCAGTCATCCTTGAGCAGCATAGCCAGGCAAGATCATGTGAGTTTTAGGCGAAAACAACTGAAGGAACACAAGCTACCTACCCCGTGGTAAACATCGAAACAAGTGTCAGAGTACATCTAGCCAGTGTCAGCTCCTGAATATAAAATTATATATTTACACACACACACACACACACACACACACAAATTTCTTGAAACGAGATGCTATGATTCATAACCCCAAAGGCTAGCTTGTGGTCAATCTAGAGTGGAACAAAGGCACTCTGTATATTCTCAGAGACTTGTTTTATTTAGCTCATTTATAATGCCCCCCAATGTGGGAGGGTATTGGGCTTAATGAGAAGTCCAAAAAAGAAACAAAAACGCACTTAGAGGGAAGTGGGGGGAGAATGAAATAACCCGAAGTATTACAATTGTAGAATAATACTGAACCGACTCCTTGCAGTAACAGATTGGTGGATAGTTTAATGGAACTTTATGGATAATCTACGAATGGATAAATATAGGACTTGGGGGAATCTTTGTCGAAACCTATGCATAATTATTTTTAATAACGGTAGTATATTCTGTTATGGCCAAATATATAGGGATCTATAATGTACGTGTGACTAGTACTGTGGGTCTTTTAACATTGCATTTAAAAGGGCTAATGCTTTAGCGTTTTAATGGAATTGATGGGCAGGTCTACCGTTTTCCTATCTCCGCTTTGAGGTCCCGCGAGCTTCTGCTGTGACGCAATCAGCCCGCGCCCCGTGACGTCACCACGCGTGGATCACGTGATATGCCTGCGGCGTTGCAAGATGGCTGCGCTCGAGTCCGGCTCTTCCTCCCCGCAGCCCGGCGGCCAGTATTGCCTGGTGAGCGGCGTTCCGGCCCAGCTTCGCTCCGCCGATCTCCGTTCGTATTTCAGCCAGGCCGTCGAGGCCGACGCCTTCCTCTGTTTCCATTACCGGCACCGCCCCGAGCGCAGGGAACCGGGGCCGGGCGTGCCTTCGCTACCAGGCCCGACCTGTTGCTGCTTAGCGATGGTGAGGCCCGGTTGGTCCCGCCGCCTCGTCCGTTTGTACTCGGGGAAGCGCTGGATCGACAAGCAAGGAGAGACGCTTCCCGGTCGGTGCGTTATTCGAAGAGTTCGGATTTCCCCAGACAGAGGTATTAGAAGAGAGGAAGGGAAGGCTCGGAATGGTTCCTGTGCTTATGTTGTGCCTTTAATATATATATATATATATTAAACTAGCTGTTACTTTTGCATTAGCGATCTTTGCCCTTATCGCTTCCTCCTGCCTCGTGGAGTCTACTGTGCACCAAATGGGATAACACATTAAGTATCTAAGGCAATGGCCTACAAAAGATTATGCAGCAATATATCTGTCCGTTTTAAGGGTGCTATGTGACTTTTCTTGTTTGCTGTAATAGGGGGATGTGGCTGCCTCTCTGGGAAAGAATTTGTATTTTTCTGAAGGGTAGTGTAGAATGATACTAGCGAACAGTATCTGTGCATCCTATGTGTATCACTATGCCATTTTTTTAACTGTTGTGTCTGTATTTTCACACAGATGTTGACTTGTTTCCATATAAAACCAAAACGGAGCTCAACAAAGTATCAAAGGAAGCTTTCACCCAGGATGATCTAAGACAGCTGCCTGAATTGAACCCTCCTCCATTTATGCCCCGTGGGAATGTAGGAACACCTATGAAAGTCTTCTTAGATCTCATCAAAGCTTGTCGGATGCCTACCCGTGCTATTAGGAAACTGCAGTTGCAGTTCCTCAAGTCTGGCTCTTCTCGTAGGTATGGAAGTGTACCATTCACATATGAAGAAACTGAAACTGTTGTAGAAGAGGAACGAGTTTATACAGCTACAGGAGAAGAGATAACAGAAGGAAAGCCCTTGTCAGAAGTGAGAATGGCTAACCAAGGCAGTGACACAGAGAAGAGAGACCAGGCAGATTCAGAGAAGGAAGCAGGAGAAGAATCTCAGTTGGCTGATGTAAGTAGTTTGTTTGCCTTACAGATGTGAAGCTCTTGCATATTTGTATCTACTTTAGAGATGCAATTTTATTCACTTTAAGGAGAGCATGTTTTTGCTGATGTCTAGCAATTCTTACAAGCTTAGAAATATATCCTTAAGATTCTGAAGTGGAAAGGCAGGCATCCTAATAACTTTACAAAGTAATAGTTCCAGACTAGCTGTATGTAGACCAGCATGGTAGAAACTCTTTTGAGTTTAGAGCTATGGAAAGGAAAGACGAGTTAGATACCAACAATAGAGATGAAACACTTCTAAGAAGGTCTTTGTTGAGAACCTTGTAGTACCTTCCATGGATCTCACCCTGGGTGACCGTTTCTAGCAATCTATGAGTTTTTAAAATCACACTACATATGTTAATCACTGGTGCAATGATGTCTGTGTTTTGTGGATGGCCCTTCTTAAGATAATTATCACTATTGGCACTGTCAACATTTTAGCCCCATCTGACAATGTTTACCCTGTTGTTCCTCCCTGCTTCTCACACACTGAGTGTCTTACAGCCAGTGTCTGATGAACCGGGCAGTTTCCTTAAAAGTTCATACCATAATAAACTTATTAGTCTCTTCGTTGCCTTTTGCTGCCACACAGCTACCACTCTGAATTTCTTCTGCACGTGCTGGAGCCACAAGCCTGTCCTGACACCAGCCTTATGGATGGAGTTCATTGCACCATCAAATGAAAACATAAAAAATAAAACCTATTGCAGTGAAAGTTTTTTGTAAAGCTTTATTGAGTTCATATACACTGCTTCTGAAGAACTGATCTGGTTGTGCATGTTTCATCCTTCCTGGGCATCATTTTTGAGCGCTCACAAAATGCCGTACAGCTTATCACCGCCAGAGAACATGAACCAGAATAAATCTGGCCTAGGGCCTGTTTGGATTGTGTTCCACTGTGGAATATTTTACATACATATGGGGAACTCAGAAGTGGGTCTTAGATTAATTTCCCTCCCTCTTCTGTTCTTCTCATAACCTGCACATTCTGTGTGACACCTCAACTTTGAAATACACCACATGCTTGAAAGGGGAATTTTCCTGATTCTCCGAAAACAAAGTTTGGATTGCAGGGCTAGGCAGATCCTGGATTCAAATAAGCATGTGCACAGTGAAGGGAGGATGGGCACAGCTGCTTCTGATTTCACAACATACAGAAGTCGCAGGGTGGGTACTGCCTTAGCAACACACTAATTGCAGTGATGTTTCCACAGCTAGCCTCCTGAGAAGGAGAATGGGGTAGCAAGAGCAGTTAGAACTAGACCTTTGCTGTTATATTCATCTCCTCCCCCCTCTTCTGCTCCAGGATGATGATGACGACGACAGATGTGAAGAATGGGAGCGACATGAGGCCTTGCACGAGGATGTCACCAGCCAGGAGCGCACAAAGGAACGTCTGTACGAGGAGGAGATCGAACTGAAGTGGGAGAAGGGAGGCTCTGGGTTGGTCTTCTATACGGATGCACAGTACTGGCAGGATGAAGGAGCAGGTAACCAAGAGCAAGATGTCCTGGGTTTGAGTCTTCCTGCTTACTTCTTGGCTAGGCATTTCCTTCCATCGGGGCTGTGAATGAAAGGCTGCTGAATTCTACAACCAGTTTCAGTACTTGCATAGAATTAACAAAGTGTTTATCTTCTGTGAAGGAGGAATGATCTTTATGCAGCAGTAGCTGCAGTGTATCAGCATATTCTAGAGGCTTGACACTACTTTTCTTTTGGCAGATTTTGATGAGCAGACTGCAGATGACTGGGATGTGGACATGAGCATCTATTATGACAAAGGTACTTGGGCTGAGGGCTATTGAAGTATGATGTCGGGTAGGGACAGAACCTGTACTAGTTGTGTTCCTGGAGGGCACCAGGTTGGAGAAAATTGAACAGAACTGGGAGCTTTGCCTGTTCTGTCCCTGGCTCTCTGCTCTTAACTGGGGCAGTATGTGATGCAAGATTTTCGTTCATTCTAGATGGTGGTGACAAGGATGCTCGGGATTTGGTCCAGATGCGGTTTGAACAGAGACTTCGGGATGGATTGGAAGATGGGTCTGTTCTGAACCGACAGATTGGGAACTTTGAAAAACATACCAAAGTAAGAATAGGCCTCAGGGTTATACTCCTTGATGTTTGTAGCAGAATTAAATAGGACAAGTCTGAAGAGCCTGACTTATTTAATTTGAAAGGTTGCACAGGTAAGGACCTAGGGGTCTGAATTGCATGTGCTGGTAATGCAAATGAAAGGATAAGTGATGGGTGTCCAGTTATTTCAGGCCTCATAATAATACACCTCTTTGTCATTCCAAACAGCCTAAATTTGATGTGGGTAATGCTATTGACTTGCTGTCTTTCTCATCAGACTGATTATCTGCTGCATTGTGGCCATTGGCAGAGCTGAAGTCCAACCCAGTGGCACCAGGCTGAGAAAGGCCCATCCGTTGCTTTAAAGATGCTTTTCCTTTTCTTTTCAGGGTATTGGCAGGAAAGTGATGGAGAAGCAGGGCTGGTCCGAGGGCCTTGGCCTGGGAAGCAGTAATTCGGGGATCGCTGAAGCACTAGACAATGAGGGCCAGGACCCCAAATGCAAGAGGGGCTTTGGGTTAGTATTCTGCCCTTAAAAGTGCATGCATGGAAGAGCTTCAGATCCTCACGTAAAGGCTGGGGTCATCACAAGCTGTGTCCTCCAGCTGGTGGTCTCAGGAGTTGGGACTGTGTTTGGAATGGATCCACAGTAAAGGTTGCCTGTAAAACAAAGTGAGGACTGGCATGTGGAGGCTGTACAGGGCCCCCTCGCTGCCATGACACCTCCATTTCCATTTTCTCTGCAGAATAGGGGACATTGTGATAAAAATATGCAAATAGATTGGCATGCATGTTTCTTGCAGTTCCAATTAGAAGTGTCTCAGAACTGGGAATCCAAAGAGTAGGAGTACAGGGAGGCATGTTAAGGGGAAGATTTTATGCATCTGACAGTACAGTCCTGTGCATGTTAACTCAGAGGTAAGAACCATTGAATTCAATGAGAATTAGGATTGTAGCCTTAGGTTTTTTCCTGCCCCACAAGGATTTTCCCTCAAGGATCTTCCCACTCCCCAACACTGCTGTCACAACAACTCTGTAAGGTAGGTTAGGTTGAGTGAAAGTGACCAGCCCTGAGTCACCCAGGGAGCATCATGGCTGAGGGAGATTTGGGCTCAGTTGGTTGCAGTCCTACACAACAGCCCTAACCACTGCCCCACACCGGCTAATGCAGTGTAGGCAAAAATAATGGGGGAAGGAGTATCCAGGAGCTGTACTGATTTCTTTTCTGCCCTGCGCCCTGGAGCTTTTTGTAAATGCTGCCTCCATGTTTACAGATCTGTTGTCACAACCCCCATGGTGTGTCGGTCAAATTCCAGTATACTGGCCTTGTGGACAATCATTGAAGGAAGTGAAAGCAAGAAGGGTGTGCAGGGGGAAGCACCTTGCGAGTCACCCACTGCTTAGTTACCCCCAACAAAACCTTTATCTCTTAACTTCAAATACAGAATTACATGAGTTTCAGGGCAAATTGAATTCCGCTTCACTCTGCAGCGTCTCTGAAGGCTTTGTCTCTTTCTGTGCTTTTCTTCAGATACCATGGTGAGAAGCTCCAGACATTCACCAAGCGTAAGAAACCACATGAGGATAGCTGCAGCCTAATCTCCACCATCTATGATGACCCCCATCCTGTAGACATGGAAGAGCAACTGCTCCGGCGCCAGTTACCGATCAGCATGAAGTATCGGCGAGATGCACTCTTTCCTCAGGCCACACACACTGTTTTCCAGAGCTCCAGTTCCTCTTGAGGAGTGAACAGCCTGGAGAAGTTTTTGGACAGTGTTTTCTGTTGCAATGACAGACTTTCTTCTTACTGATAAATTGTTCTAGCCACCTATTTTTTTAGTTAATGGAAAAGGAATTAAGTCAGGGGATAATGTGAATTATTTGTATTTAAAATATTGGCAGATGTGTTCTGCTTGATGCCTTTTCATTAAGTTGAATGGAAGTGTGGTTGTTGGCTCTGTCCCTCACTTGTCACATCTTTGTCTGTTGGGTCACAAATGTTCCCCGCAGCAGTTCAGCATTCAGTCTTGCAAAGCTGCTGTTTACCTTAGAAAAGGAAGCAGCTAACACGGCTCGTTTCAGTAGAGAGGAGAGGCCCAGCCCTCAGGCTTACATGCACAAAAGGCATGGCACAGAAGGGGAGAGGAGGCCATGGAAGAGGAGAGGGAGCTGTGTGATAAGTGGGCATTTAAATACATGCCAGGCTAGGCTCATCTGTGCTAGATGGGGTTCTTGTTTGTATTGCAATTGAAGTCCCTTTGTTTTATAACTGGTGGATGGAGCCAGAGAGCGTTCCTTCCTCATGCTTCAGTAGTTTTGCTAATGGTCACTTGGAGCTGACTGTTTGGAGGGGTGGGGGGAGTAAGTTCCCTGCTGTTGCTTCTGTGGGTGAGGGTGAGTCCAGGTTTGTTTCCCCCTTGAGTTGATGTTGTTCTTAGGGAAGCCAAGGATACAGGCTCCTGGTGGCCCCAGGTCCAGCAGCTGATGCTAAAAGCCAAACTCTCTTCTCGTTGCATAGGAGAACCAGCCTGTGCTTACAAAATTAACACCAGTAATTGAAACACAGAGAACATAACCCCTAAGTATTACAAAAGACAATGCCAATTCATTTTGCCCAAATAAGCCCATTTGCTGTCCCTGCGAGCTCTTCCTGCCAGAGTCTGGCAGTGGTCACAGCAAAGAGCCATGGTCAATGGCACACGAGACTTTCTATATTCTCCACTTAGCCTTTGGCACTGAAAATACCTTTCATGCCAAGGGTGTACAGTAAAGGATGCCCATCCATGCAGATTCCTTCCTCGTGGACATGAGAATGCAGCCATCCCAGGAACCCACAATGTGTTGGACTACACCTCCTGTCATTTCTGACCATTGGCACTATTGCTGTGACTTTTACAGAGGTTGCCCTTAGTCTGGGGACGCCAGGCTGGGCATGGCAGGGACAGAATCCCTTTTCATACTTGCAAGACCGGCAAAGGAAAAGAGTTCCGTTTAGACTTCCAGGATTCCATAATCGCTGCCGGCAGCAGAGGGCGCCATCACGTCCCGGCTGCTTTCGCCAGAAGGCGCGGCACCCCGCTGGCCCGTCGCTACAGCTTTGGCTCTACAGGGGGCGCTCGCTGCCTAGCTTTGAGGCTATTTGCTCTATACTCCCCAAGCGCGCACGGAACCTCCAGCGGTTGGCGCTTATTTCCCGCCTACCCGGATCAGAATAAAGAGAGCACAGCGGAACCAGGATGCCATCGCAGACGGATTTGCCATAGAGGTGCCGATGGCTAGAGCGACTCCAGTCTGACTAGCGAATGCGAGCTAATGGTGGGTCTCCATTACTCCCACTCGGAAATAAAAGGGTAGTTCACGACAGTGCCGGGCAGGAGCAGGCTTACTTCGCGTAACTCTCCCCTTTGCGGAAGTTTTTCAGGACCATGATCGAGAAGTGCCAATAAAAACGAATGGGGAGATTAATGTTTCCGTACAGCTGCGCTCGGGGAGCTGCGGATCCAGCAAGCGCACAAAGTGGCGGCAGGCGGACGAGCTCTTAACGACTCTGTTCTTGTCCTGTGGATACTATTTCGGTAGATCCATAGAGAACGTGGCCTAACACTTTAAAATAAATGCCTTTCTCCATTGTTTCCTGTGGGCATGTCTTCCTCCGAGGAGATCTAACGCAGGCGGAAGGCAGGCCGACTGGTGAGCGGGCCTAAGAGGACTTCGTAGGGGAAGCTGAGGCACTTTTTGGTCTCTCCCTCCGTCGAGGGGAGGACGTGCCTTGGCGAAAAGGGCCCGTGCTGCAGTCGCTTGGGAGGTGAGGCGCTTCTGCGCTTGCTGCACGTGCTTCTCGGCGCCGCTTCCCTCCTGGCGCCCTCCTCTTTTGGGCCACGTACCAGGAGCTCGTCGGGCTGAAGGGAGCCCGCTGCCTCGGAAGGGGCGCCCCTCCCGGCCCCCCGCAAGCCTCCGCGGGCGCCTTGGGCAAGCCTCGCTCTTCCTCGGCCGCGCGGTTGGCCCTGGCGAGCCCCGGTCCCTCCCTCTGCCCGCCAAGGCCCCTAGGAGTGCAGGGGCCTCGTACGCTCATTAGGAAAGCACCAGTAAGTATTTTTACTGAGAGGCAGGGGAGTCTCGTGCTTGTGCTTTGTTGTTGGAAAGAAATAATTTAAATCGCCAAGTGAATGAATGAAAAGGCCCTAATGGAGGGGAATGCTCTTGCCTCCAGAAGCGCAGTAGTATAACCAACACTCGGTCCGGTGCTTAAGTGGTTGAGTAGCGCTGTAGCAACTGCCAACTCTTGCACTACTCTTACACTTCCGGCTACTGGAAGTTTTTTAAGTCCTGATAGCTCAGCCTCAAAGAGCAGTCCTTTGAGGTGTCTCCTCAATGCTTGTAAGGCCCTGAACTTGAATGCTTATGAGCATCCTATGCAAGGCAGGAGGAACCTCAGAGCTTCGCTTCACTTCCCCATTCTCTTGCATTTTCCCTAGATGGAGGTTTGGACTATCAAGTGAAAATGCTTTGGGAGGTGAGAGAAGGAGATGACAAAGCTCCAGGTTAATTTGTATGTTCACCTTTCTAGTCTCCTGCCCACCAAAATCCACCCTTTTGCCTGTTCCAAGGTTGTATTCCTGACCTTGGGGAGAAAATTGGTGCAATTGTTTCCATGCCAGCTGGGATGGGGGAATCAGCATTCCAATTCCCAGTTCCAAGGCCTAGGGTTGGGAATCCAAAGGAATCTCTGCCTCCTCAGACACTCTAGGGATCACAGGGTCACTCCTTCCGTCTTTGTTACCAGGAAACCATGGGTGTCATCGACCACTTCCTAAGTTATTTGCTGATAGCCATATTGGTCCATATAAAACAGTCCAGAAAGTAAACTTTTTATTCATACCATTAAAATGTTGCAAAATAGTGAGCAAGTTTTCAAGTTCTCCAAACTGGATGTAAAGCAGCAACAGAAAAGAGAGGGAAAACTGGCCAAAAAAGCCTGAAATGCTGCAGTTTGTAATGCTGTTAAGATGGACTGCTATGTTTGGGACTTGGTTGCAGGCTTGGGATTCAATCCTAGACAAGCGTAAGCAGAAAAAAAGGCTGAGGCATGCTGGGAATTGTAGGCCTTTTTTCTGTCTACGCTTGCATAGGATTGTGCCTTGGGTAACCTGTGGGAGACACGAAATGGATTTCAAGTTGCACTATGAACTCCTGTGAGGGAAGCAATGCTATTCCTCTCCAAAATGACAACAGTAGTATTAAAGCTCCTCTTTTTTATATCCCACCTATTCTAGGACTGTGGATGGAGCTGCCCACTTCATTTTCATAACAATCCTGTCAAATAGATTAGGCTGAGCAAAAGGGGCTGGCCCCAGATCATGTGGGGCATCATCCAATGTGGCTGTTTATGTCCCTCGAAACTTCGAGGATTGCAAGCATCCAGTGGAGCATGGAAGTGAGGCTTCCCATCACACTTCCCTCACCCCCCCTAAAAAAACAAGTAAATAACTGTCGAATTATTTTACCCCTGCCTGTGAGAACAGGAGAAATGTCCTCCACTTTCCTCATATCCTGGCAGAGCCTCATTCTGCCCGGCCCCCCGGCCCCTTCTGAGCACCACCAATCACAGGGCTGCATTTGCAACATTGGAACCACAGTGGCAAGGGCAGAGGGAGGGTGCTCTGACCTCAGACACTTCCAAGGTTGGCGCGGAGGCTCTGGATTTCCCTATGGTAGTCAAGACGGCATCTAGTGGCCAAAGGGTTGTACCATAGTGAGCTTTATGGCCTAAATGGAGATTGGAACTGGGGGCCCTCTGGGCTTGGCTTGGTTTGGCTTTTTTACTGGCTTTCTTAAAGCCATTGGCACTCCAGTGTTACTTTCCTGTTATTTTGGTACATCATGTTGTTAGATGTATAGCTAAGATGTTTTAAGTGTACTTGTAAAAATATAAACTGTAAAGGCAACAAATGTTTCTCATGCAAGTGAACTCACTCAGCAGCCAAAATTTGCTGGTTTCTCTTTGGCTAGGCATGATGGCAAACGAAGGTTTGTTTCTGAGTGAACTGTGGCATGCTCTCTGTGTTCTGACATCTCTTTTTTATTGCAATGAAGGAAAAGAAAGAGAGGCATCATGTCCCAGAGCTCCAAGCCGTCTTCGCTAGCCTTTGGTCAGGCAGTGATCGGCCCTCCTGGATCAGGGAAAACAACTTACTGTCTTGGCATGCAGCAGTTCCTTTCTGCAATTGGACGGAAGGTGGCTGTGGTGAATCTGGACCCAGCCAATGAAGGGATTCCCTACCCATGTGCTGTGGACGTCTCAGAACTGGTCACCTTGGAGGACGTGATGGAGCACTTGAAACTGGGACCGAATGGTGGCTTGATCTATTGTATGGAATACCTAGAGGCCAACATTGACTGGCTGCAGGAGAAACTGGCCCAATTTAAGGGGCATTACTTCTTATTTGACTGCCCAGGACAAGTTGAACTCTGCACCCACCACAGTTCATTAAGGAACATCTTTGCTCAGCTTATGAAGTGGAACTTCAGGGTATGTCTAGCACAGAGAAATAAGACCAAATCAGGGTGTCAAGGTTTGCATGTTGGGCAAGCTGCTAACCTTCTTAGAGCAGGAGCAGGCAAGCTTCGTGTGTGACTTTGGGTTTTTGAGGAAGTGTCAAGGGCACCACTAGAAAATTGGCTGCAGCTGCAATGCAGCTATTGAGGTACATGGCAACATGGCCCAGAAAAAACAAACGGTTCTGTCGTCAGAGAGCAAAAAGAACTACTGAGAATATCTTGAAGTATTGGGGGTATGGCTTGCTGAAACGTGGGACTTTCTGCCTGCAAAGCATGCAGGTGGTCATTTTATGAATGAACTCACGTTGACAAGGACACACACAATAGCTCGTTCACTTGCTCTTTTGTAGCACAGAGAAAGCCTGCGTCTAGTGGGGTTGGGGATCTATGAACCTTGGGCCATTCTACATGCAAAGCATGTTCTTAGGACTTCCTCTTTCTTGCACTCACACAGGCAAATGCTGAATGTCCTCTTCCTTCTCCCGCTCACACCCTGGATTTCCTTCCTTGTCCTCTTCCCACCCAGTCCTTGCCCCTCCTCTTGCCTGTGCCTCGCCTCGCCTTGCCTCATGCACAGGATTTCCTTTCTGCCGCACACGCCTGCTTCTCACGGCCTGCAGGTTGCGCCCCCATGTTCTCTGCCTGCCTGCCACTGTCCCAGCATGCCTGCCAGCCTGCTCTCTTCTCTCCCACTGAGTTGAAGAGAGAAAGGAAGCAGTGAGCAGGCACCAACATCTGTTTCCTCCCTGCCTCATGAAGACATGGGCCGGGGGTGGGTTGGAACAGAGGTGCTGGCAGGCCACAGTGCTGGGTTGGCGACCCTTCTCTTGGGGAAGCCCTCTGTCTCTTTCCTCACCCTCATCAGAAGCCCTTAGTGCTTAGCTGACACTGTAGCATCTGGCATGGCCTCAGCCAGGTTGGCAGCACCGTTGAAAAAGATTGTGGGCACCTGGGGCTTTGTTTGTCATCAGATGTCATGAAAAACTGGGAGCGCGATATCTTAAAGCCCTGATTCTCCTACAGCCCAAGAAGAAAGAGCGGGTGTCCCCTTGCACCAAAACCATCCCTGATACTTCCTCATGCTCCTCTCTGCCTAGTGGTTAACTTAAGGAAAGGCCCTGACTGCTCTGCTCTCGTTGAACTGCTGGGATGGCCCAGACATCACACAGCACTAATTTCTCCTCCTCCCCATTTCTTTTGTTTTCTCTCTGCAGCTGGCAGCTGTTCATCTGGTGGATTCACATTACTGCACAGACCCCGGCAAATTCATCTCCGTGCTCTGCACTTCCCTGTCCGCCATGCTGCACGTGGAGCTGCCTCATGTCAACGTGCTCTCCAAGATGGACTTGGTCGAACAGTATGGGAAACTGGGTGAGAGCCGCTGGCTGGCAGGCCTCAGACAGCTGTGAGATAAAGGAACGTCCTTTTTAAAATGTGACGAGAAGAGGGCAGGTTCCGAAGGGGGCGCTAATCGGATTCTGTCATCCGACAGGCCATAACTAAGCAGGGCGGCATCGGTTTTGCTCCATCAGTTCCAGTGGTTTTCCAGAGAATATTTGGGAATTTAATTGTGTGATGTTAAATGTGTCACGTGCGGCATTATATAAGCACTATTTTTTAGTCAGTGGAGAAAAATTGGATCCACAGCACACGCTGAGGGAAGCTTTGGTATTCCCTTTCCCACTGCAATACTAATGAAAACTTTCTGCCTCATGTGCTGAGTCACTGACAGAAAACAGACCCCACTGTTGCCACTGGGTCACCGAGGTGGGGAGTGGGCAGGGTAAGCCTCCCATACCAGGTATGGCAGCCCTGATACAAAGCAGCACCTGCCACCTTTGTGCATTTAGTGTTAAATGCTTTGTTTGTTCTTAATTTTATTTATGATATTTCTGTCTTACCTTTTTCCTGCAAGAAACCCAAGGTAGCATGCACAAACCTTCTCCTTTTCAGCTTTGCCTCAAAACAACCCTGTGAGGTAGGCCGAGGGTCAGTGACTGGTTCACAGCACCGCGTATGTTACTGTCTATGCATGGAACTATTCATGGTGTAAAATATATTTTCTTGAAATGCAGAGGAGCAGCTTCCAGCCAAAGGCCACCAGTTCGGGCTAGCTGGACCCATAGTCTGATTCAGTCACATGCAGTTCTTTAAGTTCAGGGGAGAAATGTGTAGCCCTCTGGATGCTGCTCAGCCACAACGCCCAACAAGCCTCACCACTGGCATTCCGGTCCAGTGGCCCTGGGAAGCCCCACGTGCCTTGTGCCGGTTCAAGAAGTAATGCCCAAAATGTCAAAAGCAAGGCCTAAATGATGCCGGTGTTAACAAGATCCCAGTTTCTGCTTTCGACTCAAATGGTCTTTTCTGGCCATTCATACAAGTGTAACAGACAACAGTTCAGCAGGTGACACATTTCCCATGCAGCAAAAGGGTTCAGCTGCTCCACTGCTGCCTGTTGTGCTTCTCCTAAAGACCTGAGTGACCTCTCAGAGGGTGGGGATTTATAGGTATTACGGATGCCCCCTTTAATGTGATTTCCTCCTGACATGTCGGACTATAGCTCAGCTCCTCCCAATCTGTGATGCTGACAGTCCTAATGTGACACTTTTGGGGGGTGCCCCGCCTATGAAATGCGCTCCCCAGAGAGGTCCGCCTGGCGCCATCGTTATTTGTTTTTTGGTGCCAGGCTAAGACCTTTTTATTCCAACAATATTTTAATAACTTTTAATATTAGCTATATTTGTTTTAATCTGCAGCCAGGGTGGATCTGGAATTTTATTTGTATCATGTTTTATATGATGATGATGATGATGATGATGATGATGTATGTATGTAAGCCGTCCTGAGGCTCTGCGAAAGGACGGCATATAAATATTCTAAATAACTAAATAAGGTTAGCTTGCATCTTTGACCCTGCACTTTTTCAAGGTTTTTCTCTTCTCTTGCAGCTTTCAATCTCGATTATTACACAGAGGTTCTTGATCTGTCTTACCTGGTGGATCACCTGGCTTCTGACCCTTTCTTCAAGAACTACCATCGCCTGAATGAGAAGTTGGTGGAAGTGATTGAAGACTACAGTTTGGTCTCCTTTGTCCCTCTCAATGTCCAGGTAACCAAGCTCTGTG